TCAATTAATACCTAATGTTAATAATTATGACACAAACTTGAATAAAAAAACAGTTTAACTATCTAAAGTATCAATATGAGTAATTTTTCCATTTAGTGAATTTATCTTGGTTTAACTATCTATTTAATCTATAATGATTTACACACAATGAAACAAATTATATAATCATCTAGACATTACTATATTACCTAGTGTCATCATCAAAATAAACAAGGCTCTCAAAGCCAACAATTTTTTTTCATGTTTTTATCCAAATATTGCCATTGATTTTAAAGCATTAATCTTAGACCTCTTCATCAGAAGCCAAGTCCTTGTCAAGGTCAGCTTTAGGGTTCAATCATTTAGTACAAGACCAAAGTCTCCATTTCTTCTTTAATACATTAAGTATTTTGATTTGACAACTAGAAATAAAAGAAAATTTTCATCATAAATATGTTCTTAGTACACTAGTAGTTAATGAAGATATAACTATTACATCGCATTTATTGTTTATTTAATAGAAATTTTTAGATATCAATTTATATGAATAAAGAAAATTGATTACATCCCATTATCTATGAAGATGTACAAATAAATAAAATTGAATTAGAAAGATAAGAAAGTATTTGATTGAATATAAATGTATATATCAAAAGGTAAGAAATGATGCTTCTTTCAAACCTTGGTTGTCACCCAAAAACTTCATGAATCTGGAGCAAATTTTCTAGCTCAAACATGTTGGAAACTAAAAGAGAAATAAAGACTGCATAGAGCAGAACTCAGATTAAGGATGATTAATCTCTCTCCTCCTCTCTCTTGTTCATATCATGTACATGGAAATATGTAAGGCCCAACTAGTACAAAAACCAAAGTCAAAATTTGGTCAAAAGACTAATTTCGGTGCCTTTTTAGTGATAATGAGGTGCAGCACAGTTTATTCCTATAAAATGTTAACCCCATCTTAACCATTATGGTTAATACTTTAATTGAGATTCCAAAGCTTCATGAGATGTCTTGGTGCCTTCTTGCCTTCTCAACTATTGGCAAGTTGGTTTGATCAATTTCTTTGAGTCTTTTTTAGTATTTCATCATCATTACGTTCACCATCTTTAATTTCTCTCTCTTCTCTTCTAGTATCTTATAAACTTTTGTTACTACTTGATATAGGGGATCTTTTATGGATCTAATTGATGATCTGGTACTTCTAAGACTTGCATAACAAAGTTATATTAATTCTCAAGGTTTAAAACCTTATATTGACATGTTAGATTGAGATAAAAACATAGTTATATTGACATGTTAAATTGGTAGAAATTTCTAAAACATTCAATTTTAAGCATAACTTCCTAATTTCTCCCCATAAAATGATTCTTATGTATTTTAACTTAAATTTATAATAGCCTTAACTTTTTAATGCAATGTTCATATATATTTGTCATGAATTACATCATAATAATTTGGCTTTATCAAAACATAAGAAAGTATTTTTAAGAAAAAGTTATAGAAAATAACAATAAATTGCCTCAAGCCTTGCACAAGTCAAGCTTAAGTTGACTCAAGTGAGTCAACTAAACTATTAGCAAGTCAATTTAATGAAAGAAAAAAGTAAGTTTTATATCTAGATTCAGATATGATTCACCATCTAAACTTGTTGACAAATATCAAGTAGCCATAAGATTTGCAAACATCAACATCAAAGTATCAAAAAATTAAGGACCATGCATATTGACAAATCTTACAATAATTAAATCTCACATCTTTGAATTCCAAACATCTAATTCTTAGGTTCTATAACTTATGTCCAAACACTTCAAGTAACACAATCATGATGCATCAAATTAGTTAGTTCATATTCTAAAGTGCATCACTTTTAATTAATTCTTAGAACAAGTGGTATAGTATCCAATAAGTCTTCATTATCATGAGTTAATAATTAATAAATAATATAATTTTAGTTTTAACTTATGATAAATAGACTTATATTTGTGTTAATTTGTAAAAAATGATTTTTAGTTGGTTAATGTGATTTTTTAGTTAATTATGTGATTTTATATGAATTTATATGATTTTTCTAATCTTATTTTTGAGATAAATGAAGAAAAAAATAAAAATAAAAATATAGAAAAATGGGGGGACCCGTTAGCTAGCTATGCCTGCAAACGCAGTTAGGGGGAGCCGCGAGTAGAGGCTCAAGTGGCTATGGACCGATGGGGGCACGTGTGTGCCACTCTCCTTCCACATCACCAATGGCCAGTCGATTGTGAGACAAGAAGTGATTGTATACATGAGAAATGGACTTATTACTTCTAAATCTTATATTACTAGATATTCAACCAAAACTTTAACGTACAACTAATGTGGGACTAAACTCGCATCACATCTTCTCTAGAATGATTTTGTTTATTTTAATACCTAAAATACCCATTAAGCATAATAGTGATATATCATGATGACATCACTTTATAAGGGTATTAGAGTACTTATTTTAATCTCTCTCATGTAGGTGAGCGATTGTCACGAGTTCAAATCCTACCAGAGTCAAAACTTATATTTTTATCTAATTAAATTGTGACTTTTCTATAGATCGCTGGTGAAAGATTAAATTGTCAGAATCGTTGGATCATCGACAAAAATCATGTTAATGTGATTTGCGGATCATTGTTACTAAAATTATTGAACGATTTACGATAAAAGAATGGTAAATTCATCGAGTAAATTATCTTTGACTGATCGACGAACAAGTTGTCGTCGAGAAAAGGACGATCCATCAAGAGACAAGTCATCACCTTCTAAGAGCGTACTAGATGCAATGAAAAGTCTTCTTTTGTTGTGTAAACTTGAAGATGAAGCTCTTTGACACACACCCTACCTCTATTAAGCTCTTTTTCGTCGAGTGACAGCTACTAGAGAGCCGTAAAATTGTTATTTTTCTATTTTACCAAGTGACAATCGTCGGAGATAATTCGATGACTCATTTTATTGATCTCTAGACCTCACAAAAAGATCTAGAGATTACCTACGTCCTCCTTGTTCAAAGAGAGCCTTTAAGACCATTGACACTATATGACAATCCTCTCGAATATTCAAGATTTTGATATATTACCAATGCATCGCTGCCGCGACACCAAAACTTTATTTTCTTGCTTTCAACTTAATTTTCACTTCATTTAGTGATTATTTTTTCTGATTTAAATCTACCAAACAATTTTTTATTTAATTATGATTTTTTCGATTTGTACAGATCTTAATTTGATCAATTAAATCATGTGTAATCACTTACATAAGAATTATTAGGCTGAACACTATTTCCACCCAATTTGCATTCGTTGGGCACTGATGTCAAGATGACGTCCTCACCCTTATTTCTCTTTTTCACAATTTTTTTTTATTTCTTAGTATAAAATTTATGAAAAATCATATTCTTTAAAAACAATTCTAAAAATTACTTGATATTATATTACATCACTGTGATCGACTTGGAAATTTTTCACTATTTTTAAAACTTTTATTGAATTAGAATTAATATGTTTTTTAGAAATACTTCTAAATATCTAAAAATTAGTATTTTATAGTTTTATAAATTTTAAATTTACGTGATTTATTATATAATGATTAAGTCATGTCAGTACTCATACTTTTACTAGCCTCTTACATACGTAGTTGATCAAAGAATCACTTCTTTCAATAGTAAGTGTCATTTGTATGTTAAATATTTTACATCTTTACATGTAAAGCCACAAAAGGGGAGTGTTGGTAATAAAGGAAATGTAAGTTATTACATTTATGCCTAATATGAAAAAATAGACATAAGTCTAGCACATGATAGATTTTATTGAAAAAATAGTAGAAACCAAAGGTAAAAGCTCCTCATAACATGACCTAGGTTTGGAAAGGCTAAACCACTATATGGAAAAGTGTTTTTTTTGTTTGTTGTTGAATCAAAAAAATTATAAATAGTCAATTCACCCTCCCATCTTGTCACATCATCAATACCTATTTGAAACTAACATTGAATGAATGATCAGCTCTCTCTCACACTCACACACGCCCTCCCTCCCTCTTTCTTTATTTGCATCTGTTTGTTTCTCTCTCTCTCTCTTTCTATCTCTATCTCTCTAGCTCTATACACATACATACATATAATGAGCATTGTTCAAGATTTCATAAGGATTTGTCCCATGGTCTATTTTTTTCTTCTCATAGACATTAGATAATTTTAACTTTGAAAAAAAGTCATTTCTCTCTTAACTCTTCTCTTTTTAGTTTTAAAAATTCATTATAAACTATTTTTTGATAACCAAACAAATAAGTAATAGTGAAAGAATCAAATGAAGGTTTGTAATTATGATATTCATGACAACTATTGATCAGTACATAGTTGGATGAATCAAGAGAGGATAAATTAATTCCTAAATTTATTATAATTAAATATTATAATTTAACTTAATTTAATTTAATTATAAATTAATACTTAAAATAAATTTCTTAGTTATTATTTAAATATGAAATGACTCATGCATAATTTTTGGGCATATGATTTAAGAGTGGTTGTATCAAACTCTTTTAGCCTATCTAACCTTAAAGAATCCATTTCAATTTCACTATTTCTGCATTTGAATTCACTTGATTATCTTGGGATTAGGAATTCCTTACACTACCAAGTTTGACAAGCCTATAACACTACCGAGAATATTAGAAACTAACAATCATATATCTCACTCATTCAATGCATATCATAGGTGTCCAAAAGTGTCTCAATAAATCCACATATCATCAATCAGATCAAGAATAATAAACTAATTTTGAAATGAGATTTACCACTACCTTAAGCTGTCATTTGACTTGTCATAATTTTTTGAAAAATTGAGAAGATTCAGGGTAATGGAGGGAGCACTTGATACTTTTTTTTCATCTGAACAGTTTTTTTTAATCAGTCTTGATCTTCGTTGTGAATCTTTAAGACTTTGAGAGGAGTAATGAAGAGGAGGAAGCCCTTGAAGTACTTACTACCATTTGAATTTTTTTTTCAATTTTCATGCCTTAATCTTGGGTCAAGCTGCCCCTTTTTCAACACTTAAAATTAGATCTGTCTAATTTTGGGTTGTAATGACGCTTTTACCTAAGCATGTTCTCATTTCGGTCCCAAAGTCCTTTACCTTACTAAATTGATGCCTTGCACTCAATCGTGGGTCGCACCTCAGTGAGCTGAGTCCTCAACCTTAATGGGCCAAACCTAAAAAGACTAATAAATAGAAAATTGTATAATCTTGTAAAAATCATATAAAATCAAATGCTTGATATTTTCATCATCTGTTTGAAGTCTTAATTTCTTGTGGAATACAACTTGCTACTAAGCACCTGTAATAAATTTCTGTAAAGTATGGTTTCCGACAAAAATACCAATCTCATTTAATTAATTTCATGAAATATATATATAGATATATATTCTGCTGATTGGAACAGATCCCCTTCCACTCACAATTTCTCCATAATCATCATAACAATATTGAGTTAATCAATTACTCAAAAAATATCAACTCCCTTACAAAAATTGAATAGTAAATTAGATACATCATATCGGCTCAAAAAATATGTGATTTTATAAAAGCAAATATCCCTCTTTTTTATTCCTTTTCATAAATAATTAAATATTGAAAAAATGTATTGAGGAACAACTAAAGTATTTAAGTAAGATTATCTCCATTCAAAATTATGAGATTAACATCTTCCAAATTGACGCAGGGATGGGCCCTGATAGAGAATTGTAGCTGAGGTCAGAGCCCACGAGGCTCCTGAGACCGCTGATCAGCTGGCTCGGTATCAGCCCAGAGAGCGAATTGTAGCTGAAATCAAGGTGCACGAGGGCGGACAAGCTGGCGATGGTCCCGGATATGATCCCCTGGAGGCGGTTCTGAGGCAAGGTGAGGACTTGCAGAGACCTCAGGGAGGAGATCTGCGGAGGGATTGGCCCGGTGAGAGCCGGATTCGATTTCAGGCTCAGCTGCTGCAGAGCGGTGGTGAGCGCCGCCGGGATGGAGAAACTGGTTTGTGGCTCCTGAAGCAGTCGAAGAAGAAAGCCGACTGGAGATAAGGGAGAGATAAGATCCGAGAGGGAAATGTGGCGGCCTTGTTACAGCTGCCATTGAGAGGCCTTCCAAACTGGAGCCTCGTGACATGGAGCCGACCGTCCTCCTCCACGGTGCATTCAATGCCAGGCCATTAAGGACCAACTAGGGTAGAATATTTTTTAACTATCCTTTGCATGACATGTATCCTTTATCCATGAGAGAGTGAAATAGAGATAGAATAGTGTGAATGTACGTCCATCTAGCCCAACTTGATATTTTGAAGTTTGAACCAAACATGCAACTTTGTAAGTTCTACTCTAACATTCTATATTGAAGGCATATAACTAGTGCTCAAGAAAAATATGAATCATAGATGGCATCATTTGATTTTTTTGATTCACATTCTTGTAAAGCTTCATAGTAGTAAAAGAATATCGCAAGACATTAGTACTATTCGTGCTCTTCCGAATTGAAAACTGCTAATCTAGATCGTGTTACGTATGAAGCTTCTAGATTAGCTCAACAACACATGAGCTTATACATTGTCATAAATCTAAAAGAAGATAACTTATGCCTCAAATGTTCAACCATTGTATTACCTAGGGACTAGCAAACTTGTTGGTGTAACTCTTAAGAAAGTAAACAAGGCAAATGGTGTGTGTTTGTATGTTATTTGCCTCAAAAGAGATTCAACTCAAAAGTTGACTCACTCTATTTAAGAAGACAAAATGCCCAAAGAGACCTGAAATTGACTAATTCGCCATACACACCCCCATAAAACCCCAATTCTGAGTGCCTCATATAACCCTGGCAGAACTGACGTACCCTTTGAGCTAGCTCCCTTCTTTGATGTCGCCCATCCTCGGGAGTGTCAATGTATGGGGGTCCAGACGCAGATCGGGCCCAGGCCCATGGAGGTGTAAAATGAGGTGTAGCGTAGAGCCCAATGAAGTCTAGGTCGAGAGAGAGAGAGAGAGAGAGAGAGAGAAACGTGGGGACCTTTTGTGCGGGCAATTGTCACGGAAAATGAGCTACAAACTCCGGGACCGGATCTTTCATCCATCTGGGCTACGCGTTGCTTATTTTTCGGGCTGAATTCGGAGGCCCAGCGGTGGAAAATACAAACTTGACCGATCTGGCCTGTTTTGGGCTTTTCCCATCCATTGAAATCCGTGCTCAATGGTCCATCTCTTTAAAATGCGTTCCACCTGCGTCGGCCTAGTCTCGACAAGCTACGACTCCGACGAGCTCGGACCCTCGGGGCCTCGATGAGAAGAACAGAAGACAGGTCCTGCTTCGACCGCTCCCGCCTTCCTGACCGCCATGAGGCCTCGCTGGTCCCTGGGCACGGTAAGCGGAGACTTAAGGGCGGCGCTGCTCCTATCCCACGCCCCAAGCGGAGGAAGACAAGAGGTGACGGCCATAGAAGCCGCCCTTGGGTTTTCTCCTCGCGCGACTTCTCCTCGTGTAAAAGTGCGCGCCAACAACCGCCTCGTCCTGTTATTTTGGCCAATAATGTATGAATGTAATTATGATTTCGTCTTGGGGTTTCTTCCAGAGAGGTTTGTGATCGTCTCGTACAATATACTGGGCGTCGAGAACGCCTCTAGGCATCCGGATCTTTACCAGCTCGTCGATCCCAAGAATTTGGAGTGGGATCGTCGCAAGAGGCGGATACGGAAGGAGCTCAGACGGTACGACCCCAGCATCCTGTGCTTCCAGGCATGTATATTTTGTCTGCTGCTCTGCCTACTTTGATGTAAACCTTTGGCATTCATGAATATTTTGACAAATTTCCCTGCACTAGTTCCATTTGACTTCTATATGATAACTGGTCCATTGGAGCTTCATATGGACGCTTCTGATTGCAACTTTTTCCGTAGAAGGATGGATTTCACCTCTTGCTCAGAAAACTAAGAAAGCATGCCCATTTTCAAACCCTTTGCCATTTATTTTCTCCTCTAAAACCCATGTAGTCCCATTTTCTGTTGGACGAGTACAGGCTACGTCTTAGGACGATGGAGACTGTGATTGGCCTCTGCGCATCACAATTTTGTTACTATTTTATCGAAGAGAATGATAAATCTTTGAGTTGCTATCTCACTGAATTTTCTCCCCCTCACAAATAGAATGCTGTGGATTCCCTCTTTTAGAGGGCTAGATGATCAAACGAGAGGACCATGGACTGTCTATTATTAAGATCTTCATATTCAATGCGGAAAGGTGTTTGATCACTGGAATACAGACCTCTGATTTATTACAAGCTTCTGTATGGATCTATCTAGCAGCCATCTTGTCCGAGGGTGCTCCACGAGGACATACTGGGGGATTGACCATGTCAGTTTAAGTGTATGGGGCTTATGACTGGAGGGTTTATACCAGGTTGTTACTCGTGATGTATCATCACAGTGCTTGCAATTTTAGGAGGCAAGCTTACTAGAGCGGCCGCTACTCATGCCTTGTTACTGCCGTTTGGTGCTGGCCTCCCCTCTTTCCTAGGGGAAGTCTTGGTTTCTCCTTGTAGTCACATCCTATCACTTATGGGATTACCAACTCAAGTATGGAGTTCAATTCAGCAAACTCCTGCAAGAATATTTTAGGCACCTGGAGAAAAGGAGAAGAATTTTGATGAATACATTTTTCCAAACATCCTCAGTCTGCAATTTCTGTAAATTTCGAAACTATTCTCACCTACATAATTAATGTCATTGCCAGGTAGGAACACCAAAACTGATCTTAATAGACTATCTAGGAGGTATCAAGTTTTTGATGGTTCATCCTCCCCAGAATAAGAAGTGGGCTACCAATAGGATGCTAGGACATTCCCATGTGAGAATCGCTTGGATCTACACTTCCAGTTAGACATGACATGATATATATTTTCAGTTTCTGGACCAAGCATGATCTAAGATGCTACAGGGACCTGATGAGCCTCCCTTGTTCATATTAAGCTCATTCATTTTCAAAAAAAGTGGCCACTTGACGGGCACTATTCACTCATTTAGCGCAGCCTTCTTTTTCAATGAAATGATTACAGAACTTTCTCACTTTTTCTTCAGAGACACAGCTACTGGTTGTTTTCACTGATAATCTCGTATTATCAATGCAAAGTGTGTATTGAACTTCCCCAGTCTCTGTGCAGTTGGCTCCTGCCAGACGTGCTTTGTGCACCAATGTTGAATGTCACTTAGCTGGTGATACCTGCAAATGTTTTATGAAGCCACTCATACTTGCAATGATTTAATATGTCCTTTCATGTATCCGAGGCATAGCCCAAGTTTAGTACATGAGAAATAATTGCGGCAATTATCATGTCTGAATCCAAGAAAACCCTTGACTTTTCGGACTGAAGTTGATAGTTACGATCCAATCTCCTGTATCTATTTTTTATATATCAAAAGGTGGCCCCATGCAACCACTGCCGTCAACTACCCATGGACGGGTAATGTATGGCAAAACTTGTAGTGTTCAAGATATGAGTATGACAAAACTTGTAGAATTGAGGAAGGGCTCAAAGTCAGAGTCCCTTTCGCATGTTTGAAGTAGGCTAATTTATCATCTCAGAAATAATTTAGAAACAGGTTTAACTTCTCTCAGTCAACTTGAAATTATTCCATCATATTTCCTCGCAATGAAGTCAAGATTTTTGCACTATGTCATAGAAACAATTGAGACAAGGTGTCCTGCCTAAGAATATAACTCTTGGCTATGATACCATGTGAAAGAGTCGGGTTATCTAACTTTCAATCATTTAGTCATAAGTGGATTAAAGCTGGATATCCTAGTCAATGTGGAACCATCCCAACATAACATATTATTTACTCGTGTTATGAAGTTAACGTTAATTGACAGCACCTTGTAGTGAGTATTGTGATGATGAATTCTCTGTCACCTGAGTCCTTTGGAGGAGTGCAAACGTTAATTGAAGTGCCTGTATCGGCCCTGATATCCATATAATATTTGCCATCCGTACAAACTCGTCTATGTGCTTTGCCTCCCTGTCTATTGTCATTCCATTTCAATAGGTCTTTATTTAAGAACTTCCCTACAGTGACAAAGTGTGAATTGAAATGCACGCGCATTAGGAAGGGAAAAGGGGCATTTAACTGGGTAGGGATAGACCAACACTTTACCTCAGAGGTCAAACCCCCGTGCTTTTTAGGAATGTCTCCAATGATTTCAAAAGGTACCCTCTATTCCCTGGTAATAGTTCCTTATTTTTGGGTGTCATTGTCCAGACGTTGTCCTCCTTTGAAAGATCGGCTCTCTAACAGTCCAACTGCTCGATGATGATTTCATCTCCATTTAAGTAATCCTGTTAAAAGATGTTTCTCTTTTCGAGTTTCTAGGGTACAATATCTATCATGGATATTCCACTCTTTCCTGAGAAATTTTCTTGATATGTGCGGCTTTATTGCGCATTGAGGATTTTATTCTTTATTAACTTAAATAACCATATTAATCTGCTAGTCTAAGAAAGTTGTGTTCAATCTGTGCGAAAAAAAAATGATAGTTGATTATTCCTTACTTAATTAGTGGCAATTTTATTTTAAAATCCCTATGCATTCTCTCATTTGATTTGACTATTATTTAGCAACTTGATTTATCCTTTACTCCTCATTCATGAATTATCCTGCAAAATGACTCAATATAGGAGGTTGACCGCTTTGATGACTTGGCAAGTCTTCTTAATAAAGATGGTTACGTGGGTGTTTATCAGGTAACCAATAGAACTTCTGCATTTAGAATTCTGGATTCATTACGAAGCCTACGTTTCCATTTTTTTAATTTTCAGGTTCGAACTGGAGATGCAAGTGACGGTTGTGCAATGTTCTGGAAGGAAGAACAGTAAGACGTACCATTCTTTCTGTAAATTTTCTAAAGTCTTCTGATAGCGAGTGATAAACCCCATTCGATGATTTGACAACTGTCTCTGTTTAAGGTTCTGAATCAGAACAGATCAAATGTGGACATGACTCTCTGCTATGTAGCCCCTGAGGTTGATCCTGTTGTTTAATTTTTACTTGTATCTCCGGTAAGACGATTTTTATTTCAGAAGATGTACACTTTTTAGCTGAAATTAAGGTCCCTCGAATAAGTTTACATGTGTCCGAAATGAATTTAGATCAAGTCATTATCAATGATTTCCAAAATTTTAAGATGCACTGAGAGCTTTTTATCCAATTATGTGATACATGTGATTAAGAAAAAAAAAAACCTGTTCATTGATGTAGAGCTTCGAAATAGTCATTTGCTGCCGTGTTTTCATTTGCCAACTAACCTGACCTGTTCGAATTTTCTTTTTCACCACAGATCACGTGTCACATAGTTAATCTTATAAAAAGAAGTATATTATTTTAACAGGGCTTTGAAGATTAGACTCGTATTTGTCAGAACGAATATCGGAAGAATTAGCAATCAAAATTGGGCCATACGAATCGGAGTTTGTTATTATGGGATTTTACTAGCAGGTTACAGAGTATGGTATTTTTCTTTGCGTACATGTGCATATGTAACCATGGCTTGGAAGACTTGCTGTCAATTTTTCTTGTGTCCGAAATGTACGAGTATTTAAAAACTGGCTGGTAAAAATTTCCCGAGTTGTACAATGATCCTTTGTTCTTTCATTTCTTACAACTGGGATCTCGATGCTTACTATTGTGTAATCACACAAACTTTGGTGTGATTTTTTTGTCTAGGAAATGGATTAGCCAATGCGTTCTATTAATTTCTTCGGATACACGTTGAAAATGTCTTTTAGATAACTCTCTGTTTTTTTTTTTCTCTTAGATCTTGATTTAATTTATTTTCTTCCCTACAGTTATCTGTAAGCAGTGAATTATGAAATTTAGAGTGATCTTAGTTTACTGGTTTGTGAAAAGTGTAATTTGAATGCAGGTTTAATCTTTTGCATGAAGAAAATATTCAATTTCAGGAATTTGGGCTTCGGAATAATGTGTCTCAGATCTGTGTCTTTAAGGTACGTTATGTGATCTATATACCATTGATCTCATTTTTATTTTATTTTTATTGTTATTCACTTTTGCAATTCAGTGCAGTCTTCTATTCTTGAAGCAAAATATTTAAGTGGTTTCCACTCAACAGAATTTGATTCTCGTTTTCTTTCCCAGGTGATAGACACTCACAAATCGACTAAACCAGCTAGGTAAGATCACTCGGATCTGTATTTCTCCTATAAATCTGGGAACATCTCTCCGAGCATTCCCCTGTTCAATCCCAATATTAAGGAAATCCCTGATGTTGGATGAAGTTGGATACAAAGGAATCCGATGCCGATTTAGTGGGGCAATAATGCGTGCATGGATTCAACATAGTTATGATCTAATACCCGGGAAGATCATCCTTCCCATTTCCTTTTTCTTTTTTGTCTTGGAGATGCGCGAGATCACAACCTGGCCATGAAGCTGTAACCTTCATGAACGCATTTGAGAGTATCTTGTTCAGTATTATTCTCCTTCAGAGGAGAGCGACTAACGACTACGACGATTATCTAGGTCCCAATGTGATCGAACTCTGCTCGTTGGAAATATACACGTCTTATTCAACCCAAATCGAGGAGATGTCAAACTTGGTCAGGTAGTGAGTCCTCTGTTCTCTGGAGATCTGTGAAAGATCTCGGAGTACATTTTTGGATTAATCTGTGAGACCTATCCACAAAATACTTCCAATTCTCGTATATTCTAGGAGAAATCGTATTTGGAGTAAATGATAAGATGTGATTCATAACTATTGCTGGTTTTCCTCTAATGATGTATGGAGGCCTCAGGCACTTGCATACCTTCATGTTTGCCTTCTCTGACCATTTCCTTGTGCCAGTTTATCTTCAACATCACTTATCATAATTTGAAAATAAATAAATGTAATTTTCGTTTTTTTTTCCCTTTCTGCTGTCTCGAAATATCTCTGAGTGTTGATTATTATCTCCTCGTCTGAAATTACCCTACAAGTCTCTGAAACAAAAATCACCCAGAAAAGCAAATTCAGTTCCAACCGAGCTCCCCTTCATGCCCTGTCCAACTCTGGATTATATCTCTTTCAAGGTTTCGTCTTGGACATTTTGTCAGCCGATGCATATCTGAATTAGATATAGTACAGGGGTAGGGTTGACTTTTGTATCTTGTGGCATTGCAGATGCGACTGTTTCTCGAGAAAGCCCACGAGATATCAGAGCAATGGGGTAACGCCCCAGTGGTAGTTGCCGGTGATTTGAATAGTATGCCTCAGGTGGAACCCAGAAACATCTTCCCTCCCCCCTGAACAGAAAAATAAATAAATAAAAAGATTGGAGTTATTCCTGTTGACCTGAAAATTAATGTTTTTTCTAATATTCCAGAGCGCCCTTTACCAGTTCGTTTCCAATTCCAAGGTGCAAATATTCTAAATCTGCCCATATGCTCATAATTCATGAACTGGTGATGACCGGGTTTCTGAAACGCCCTGCAGTTGGACTTTCTGATGCATGATCGCAGGAACATCTCGGGTCAAATCAAGTGCTCGTTCAGGCGGAAATCTTTTGCCTACCGGAGAGGAAACCGCGGAAGGTTCTGCCCATTACTGACTAAATCCCCTCTCACAGACTTTCTCTTTCAAAATTGAAAAAGAAAATCTCCTCTCTTGTTTTGTTCCCGTTTCCTCCTCTCCATGAAGTTATCCGGCGAGCGTGTGGAAGTGCGGGTGGAGCGACGAGGAGAGGCTCCTTGCTGCTGGGAACAAAGAGCAGGATCTCCTCGAACACCCTCTCAGGCTTCGGAGCGCCTACCCCGGAGTTCCAGTAAGCTCTCTCTCTCTCTCTCTCTCTCTCTCTCTCTCTCTCTCTCTCTCTCTCTCTCTCTCTCCTGTGCTTGAAACAAAAATTTTATGGTTTTCCTGTCAAACGTGGGTGGGGCTTGAAGAAGATTAGGGTTTGCCAAGATGGGTACGAGCAGAAAGGCTCCATTCTTTCGATGGCAGATTCAGTCTTTGTTGGGTGTGTTTAATCGCTCCAATGTGAATCCGCCGCCGCCTGATTTTGACTTAACAGGGGAGTAATGGAACCAGAGACGGCAATGGGGAGCCGCTGCTGACATCCTACCACTCCAAGTTCATGGGAACCGTCGACTACATTTGGTGGGTCGACCCATCTCTCTCTCTCTCCCTCTAGATTGCTCGCTCTCGTGAGAATCGCTGTGTAATCTTATTCTCAAGCAGGCATTCCGCGGGGTTGGTGCCCCTGGGAGTAGTGGAGACGCCGCCGATCAGCGCGCTGCGAGAAGCGGGGTGCCTGCCGAGCGAGGTGCCCTCGAATGCCCCAAACTCCGGTGATATCTCGGCGACAGTATAATATGGGGACGGATGGGGATTTTTTACTTGTTTTGTTCCTCTTCTTCCGCCTGGCAGAGGTGGGGGAGCGACCATCTGGCCCTCGTCTGTGACTTCGCCTTTGTGGACGACGATGAGGTCGACGGTGACGACGGTGATGATGTAGGCGCCTCGAAGGTCTCCAGACGGTAGCTGCTCTCTCCGAACGGTTAAATCTGAGGTTTTTCATTCGTTCGTGAGAATGTGGAGCATTTACGGCTACTCTCTTCTCTCTCTTCCGGCGGTGGAAGGGGCGAAGCAGCCTTCTTTCGAAGCTTCTTCTAGAACTGCTCAGTGGAACGTTCCTTTTCACGCGTGATTTCTCCGTAATGTGGCCTATTTAAGGCCCTCTCTCTCTCTACCTCCAGTGGTCGGGCGGTCACGTGAATCCCGTACGGATGCACGCAAGGAAGAGAAAAAATACCTAAAAATAAAGGAGTCAGCGGCAGAGGAGCTGCTGGGGGGAGGGAAGAAGCATTCATTCAAACCCTCCGCCCCCACGCGGTGGGGCCTGCTGCAGGCGAATCCAACGCGCGATGACCGCCGGACATCCGGAGTGGGCCCCCCGCCGCCGCCGCCGCTGTTCTCTCCGACACCCCTCACGTGACCCAGGCGGCGGGAGGCTTTCCCCCTCCCCCTTCTTCCTCTTCCATGAGAAGTTGACGGCGACATTTCCTCCTCTTCTCGGGCGTCGACGGTGGGCCCTCGCCGTGAAGAGCGGGTCATCCCCCCGGACGAGGAGAGAGAGGGGGCTTTAATGCGCGCGAGGGATGCTCCGCATATTATTGCGCGGCGGCGACTGGGGACAGTGTAAGAGAACAGCCCGTCCCGCCGCGGCGCCACCTTCGCGGCGCGGCGGCGCGGCAAATAATCCACGACGGGGCGGCAAAGAGGCCGCCGCCGCCGCACTCGCGGACTGACTTCCCTAGCGAGGAACATATTTGCTGTGCCGCTGTATTTTGTCCCGAAGAAGAGGAATCCATGAAGCTGGATAGATTTCATGCCGATTATCTGCCCTCGAGGGCTCCATGAAACATTCTTATACTGAACTGAACTCCGAATTTCGATGTTATCTTCTTCGCTATTAATATCCACTCTGCATTTCCATGAGCAATAAAAGTCGCCTATCTCTCTCTCTCTCTAACGTACGTGGCAGGACCTGGTTTTACCCATCTCACCAGCTGGTTCCAACAATCCATTGAACCCATCAAAGCGGTGGGGAAGGAGGGGCCCCACGAAGAAGACACGCAACCTCACGCGCTGCTGAAAGAGCCACCGAGCCGCCGCCGCCACGGCAGGACGGACCTTCTCGTGTACTGGAGAGGAAGCTGCCATCGTACTGGGTGAGAGAGAGGGACAGGGGTAATTGCGGCACCAAAAGGGGGTCTCTCACACAAGAAAACTCTAGGATTTCGTACGGGGGAGGGGGGACAAAATTGAGAGGATGGATACACGGGAAGGGGCGGGTTGGAGGGAAGGAGGCAGGAAAAAAACTCATCTTGGACGGGCTCTGAAGAGCGCCGGGAAAACCCAAGAGAGTTCGCCGCCTCCTCCTCCGGCATTCGCCGCCGCCTGCACTCACGAACATCAAATAAAGAATAACTTGGGTTTAGGCAGAGGCTGCTATGGGGATGGACGGATATATATGTATGTAGGTGATAGATAGATAGATAGATATATTATATTATGCCGGGTGCTATGGGAGTGGCGATGGATGGACGGATGGCGGATCAGAGATCCGTCCAGTCGAGGGATTCTGGGTCGAGGTCGAAGTCGAGGCCGTCCATGTCGCCGAGGCCGCCGACGAAGTCGTCCAGGTCGTCCAGCAGGAAGGGATCCATGAGATCCAGCCCGAAGGTGTCGTCCAGCCCCCCCGAGGAGGACGGTTCTTGCATAATCCCCAGAGCCCCCACCTCGTCGTCGAAGGGGGCGCCGCCGCCGGCGAGAAGCCCCGCCGGAGGAGACGCCGGTGCTGGGTGCAGCAGCGGCGGCGGCGGCGGTGGCTTGAAGGACCCGTCGGTGTCGCCGGAGTTGGAGCCGACGTCCAGCACGGAGGAGGGGGATGAGATGAAGGGCGACTCCGAGTCCTCCTCGGAGGCGGAGGACGGCGCCGGCGTCCCCGGCGGCGCCGGCGCGGTGGCGGAGGCCGAGGAGGAGGTCCCGCTCTTCTCGGCGTTGATCCGCTCGAAGGCCCTTTGGTAGGCCATGGCCGCCTCCTCGGCGGTGTCGTAGGTGCCCAGCCAGATGCGGGCGCCCTTGCTTGGGTCCCTGATCTCCGCCGCCCACTTGCCCCACCGCCGCTGCCGGACACCTCTGTACTTGGGGCCCCCCGCCGCGCTCGCCGGTCTCGGGGACCGGTGGAACTTGTGCTTCTTCGAGGAGGAGCTCTTCGATATGGCGGTGGCGCTCGTGGAGGAGATTGAAGCGGAGGGCAGTATGTGGATCTCCCCGACGACGAGCTTCTTCGCCGCAGGGGAAGCTCCCATGCTGCCGCTCTTCCTCTTCTTCGTCGTCATCGTCCCACCGCTGCCGCCCAAGTGACCTTCCTCGTCCTCGTCGCTGGAGTCGTCGGTCGCATCCGGGTCGCAGCAGAGGACGCGAATCTTTCTGACGACCTTGGTCGTCGCGGAGTGGTCGGACTGGCAGAAGATGGAGGACTGGACGACACTGTAGGACGGCTTCACCTTGGGGATGGAGGCGGCGTGACCCCCCTTGCGGAACGGCTTGTCTTGGGTCAGCAGCTGCCTCTGAGGACCAGGCATTTTTCCCAAAATTTCTCTTCGAAGTGGGGAAAAGCTGCCCGAAATCTCAGAGAAAGCGGAAGCTCGAAATCGAAAGGAAACAAAGATGGAGAATCCGGAGGAGAGAAGAGCTCAGAGAAAAGACGCTAGTAGGCCGCCCTCGTCAGGTCAGGAAGAAGAAGCAGGACCTCCGTATATGTAAGAAGCCGAAGTACTTCACCCCAAAACCACACCTGCAACCGCGAGGAGGAGGGAACATATGAGCAACAATAACAATAACCTCGAGGAAACGAGAAGGGGAGATGCATCAGAACCATGCCGCGTTACCTGATGCAAGACAAGGGCATCGAACCAGCTCTAATTTCCTGTAGTTCCCTTCGCATGCGGGAAGCCAGCGAAGATGGCTCGGCCGCGGCGACGGCGCGGGGGGAGGCAGAGAACGTCCGGTCGGCGAGCAGGGCCGGAGGAGGCAAAACAGACGAGGAGGAAGAGCGAGATGGAGAAGGGAGCGCCTTCGGCGTCTTCGAGTCAATAGGAAAGGAGAGCAGGCCTGTGAAACCAGCCGACATAAATCCGCTCCTCAAAACCCCTCCTCCTCGTTTTCCTTTTTCCTCCCCTCTCCTCTCGGCCCTCGCTACAGCCTCGTTCCTCCGCCCCTGAAAACCCCTACCTACAGCCAAAGATGAAGAGTCAGCCTGAGAGTGAGAGGGCATAAAAACCCATCCAAAACCCGGCAACGGCGGAGACTACGGGGAGATGACGAACCTATGGCCCTGATTTCTCCACCCTCCCCCTTCACCCCCCCCGCCCCCTCCCCGCGGTATCTGACAAAGATCTATCCCCTTCCCCACTTCCACCCCCCCACACGAGATCCGAGCAGGAGAAAAAAAACAATTCCAGAAATCGGAGAACAGATCCGGCCAGTATAAAAATCTCCCCGCCGCCCCTCCCCCGCAGCGACGCAAATCTCGAAGTGTAAAAAAAAACAATCACACCAGAGGAAGCGAAATCAGATCATCCGCAGCCCCGATCTGAACCATCTCCACCACTCACTTACCGCGGTGAGAACCGACGGGGAGGTAGACGACGGACTTGGAGGAGGGGGAAACCCTGCTCAACTGAAAGCGGCGGCGGGCCCAGTCCTGCTTGCTGCTGCTCCTCCACCACCTCTGCCGTGCGGCGGCTCTATCGTCGGCAGCCGGCGAGGACCGCCGGAGCGGAGTGGAGTGGAGCCAAGTGGAGAGCCAAAAGGGGCCGGATCTGCGGGGAAGATGGAGGGAGGAAGGGGACGGTCAAAAGGAGACGGAAGGGGCGTGGCCGGACGGTTAAAAGCGGAAATAATCGTTAATTAAACGTGAAAGTCGGTTACGCGACGGAGTTTCCCATTGGGGGAAACTCCCCTCGCTGAGCTGGCATGTGGTCCCGTGCATGCCGCGCAACGTGCCAACCCAGCCCACTCCCCTCTGATCCTTCTCGGGCGCATTATCGGGCGCGCTGAAGGACCCCCTGGTACCCGATACGGAGCACGTGAAAAAGGCCGCCACGTGTCCGTCCCATCCATTGCCTAGCCGTGAGGGTCGACGGGAAGGTCCGGTCGTCAGAGCGGACGAGTCGGATCCGGCAGTTGTCCGATTCGCCGGGGGTGGGGAGGGCTTGTGACCGTTGAGCAGAGCTCAGCGGCAGATGGAGAGCCGTTGCGGCGGCCCAAGGGCCCTCGGGAGATGCGAATCGGGCGGCGACGGCGACAGATGAGCCGCAATCGGGCCCACCGTCACCTCTCGATACGTACCATCTAATAGGTCTCCCACGGGTGTCGACGTGTCACGCGAATAGGCGGCATGCATTCGTGCGTACACGTGTGCATACGTAGATAGGAAGACCATGCAGGCGGGAAACAGTGGAGCACTAAAGCTGTCACAGTTCGTTACACGTGTGGGCCCAAAGGGGGAACGGCCGCTGTCTTCCTCGGAGGGAGCCCAAAGTCCGAATTATGCGAAAAATTAAAAGACTGACAAAGGGCGCGGTCATGGGTTTGACCACGTCACCTTTGACCCACATCGAAAATCGGCACCTTAAGAAGCGAGAGAAAGAGATCAAAAGTCTACTCTTTGACGCGAAAAAAAGTCGGGTTGTCAACTTTATGATGTTTAGGACCATGTTGTCCCGAAGATAGCCCATGATTTTACACCGGTGGCTTTCTTTCGTCGTGACGTTGACTTTATGGCTAAGACTTGAGAACATGGGTTAACCACGTACACTTCGAAGGCCCTAACTTGTCTCTGCGGTTCATTATGGCGACAGCGAGATAATTCCACGTTACCAACCTAGGTGTTTCCACGTGGTGACTGAGGGAGAGTCGTCCTCGTCGAACGCCTCTTGGTCAAAGGCTAACCAGCTCAACGGTAGCCGAGTCGCTGGCCCTGTTCCGGGAGATGTCCCCAGGCGGCTCGGTAAGAAAAATATCCAAAAACCCGAAAGTCGCACGTGATAGTCCCTCATGTGCCCGGATTAATTAGTTTACTATTAATAATAATTAGGCGGCGGTTTTGACGGTGCAGCGGACGCGGGATGGACGCATGCGTGCGTTCGCGCACGTGAGCCTGCAAGCGGGGGAAGCAAGCAGACAAAGCACGAGACCGGCCGGTGGGAACCAGCTCCGTGCTGGGTCCGACGTGGCCCTCGTTGGGCAGGCGAAAAGCGCGGGAATTGTCGATCTCCCGCCAAATGCTATCCAACTAAACGGTTGGGTATGCGAGTCGTCGCCATCTGTCGGTCTCCCTCAACGGCGCTTGATGGGCGAACGTTTACTAAAAGGCCCTCAGGTGAGCCCTTTCTCATGTATATCGACGGCCACCGCACCAGCGCCATCCCCCAAATCCACGGCAAACTACGCGCCACATCATTTTTGCTTCCAACGTGGCATGTCGGCGTTTACCACGACAAACGCCCTCGCCGCTTCATCGCCCCGTACGTGGATGACCAAACCGCGGGCGGGAAGGCAGAGCGGGGTTGAGTCTCCCGCCAAAACAGACGGCCGTAACGGCGGACGGACTGAGGGAAACGGAGCTGGATGGCGGTGGGGGTCGGACCCGATCGTAACAGCCGGCGTGGCGAACGGGATCCAACTTGACGGCTATAACGGCGGCTGTGTGACGTTAGCCACAACATCCGGAAGCCCAAAAATCGGTTCCTACTCACTGTCGATGTGGGCGATGTTGAGAATATCCAACTACGGAAATTTCGAGCCCGATGAAACTTTGGTGGGCGATAGATGGGCCGACACTTGGATGGCACTCGGAGGATCTCCGTGGCCTGGGCCCAGAATGGGGCTGACATGTCTCAAAGAGCCGGCCCGAAGCCCATCGAGGGTGGGCCGGGGGTGTTCAAAAGACGTTGTGGGCCTCCACCGGCGAGATTGCCCCATCACGTGCCGCCAAAAGCCCAGTTGGTCAGGAGCTGGCCCACAGTTGGATCCGAGCCCGGGGAGGACGAGGGGGGCATTAAATGGACAGGCAAAGTTCTCTGGCACTTCTGGGCCAGCTTATCCGGCCCACTGGACACGTCAGGTTACGTACGCCTCGGATGCCGAGTCGTCAGCTGAGATATTTCGTTATCCTAGCCGACCAGAAAAGTTGAATAGGCAGGCGCTCGTTGGGGCATTTTCGGGTTTTCCCATTTCTAACGAGTAACGGTTAGAGATTTACAGCGCCCCCAAAAGGGCGCACCCATCAGACGGCCGGCAGGGACTCTGGCCGCCAAGAGTAGTCCAGAAAATCTGACGGGCCGAACGGGCCCACGTCGGCGTAGTCGAAGAGACCGCCGTCGAGGAGAGCGCCGCCCGCCGCGGCGGCGGCGGCGGCGTTCTCGTCGTCTTCCTGGCCTAACCCTAGGTCAAGAGGGTCGCAGTAGCAGGGGATCTCGTCGTCGAAGCCCCAGATCTGAGGAGCAAACAGCGCGGCCTCAGGTTTCACCTCCTCTCCGAGGTCCCCCTCTGCGGTGGCCTCCCCCTCGTCGGAGGAAGAGGTGGGGACGATGGTCGGCGGCAGGCCGAGCTCGTCGTCGGAGGCCTCCAGGAGGTAGGAAAGATCCGGCTGCACCGCACAGTCGTCGGAATCGGAAGCCGCCATCGCCTCCTCCCCCCCCGGAGGAGGCGGTGGAGGGGAGGACGGCGGCGCCGCCGCGCATATCTCCTCCTGGAAGCTCTTCAGCACTGTGTCCAGATCTCCCGCTGCAGAGCTGGCCAGCGGGCGGTCGGTGGAATCGACTTCCTCGAGGATGTCGAGGAGTATAAGGTCGGCGGCTCTGAGCCGCTTCGCCTCCGGAATCTCCTCCTCCGGCGGTTGAACTTCCGCCCCGCCCCATTGTCGCTTCGCAGGATTTGCGCCGGCGTCCGCGATGCAGTCGGCCATGCTGACTGTCCTAGAGAGAGAGAGGAGCGGGGAAAAAGGCAGAGGAGAGGGGGGATGAGGGAGGAGGCAGATGATGATGCGCCAGCGGTGGTGGGTCTTGATAGTGGGGGAACGCTAAAAGGGTTTCTTCTGGCACTGCTGTGTAGCCGAGGAGGAGAGAGTGTGCCCTTATATAGAGACCCGGTGCAAGTACGGAGAGAGAGAGAGGCGGGCCACCCGTGATCTCCTTGCGGTAGGAAGTTCGGATCATAGTCTATGCGCGCCTGTCTGGGCTGTAACCTCTCACGCTCTCTCTCTCTCTCTCTCTCTATCTCTCTCTAGCTATCTCTTTCCCTTTCTCGCTGTCTTTCTCTCTCTTTTTCCCACTCTAGCAGCACGCCGCGCCACATCTTTTTCGTCTCGGTCGACGGGTCTAAATTCGCTTTGGAATCCGGGCGCTGAATCCGGAGCGGTTCCACTCACTGCACCCGACCCCTCGGCTCCAACTCAGAGGCGTGGTCGGTCCTGCCACGTATGCGGAGCCTCCCCCACGCGTCGCTGGTGGCTATTTTTACCGCCTGCCAATTTTAAAACCACCTCCCCCACGCCGGTCCCCCCGTTTCATTGATTATTGCTCTCACAGATCTGATCAACTTGGTGACGGGAAGCGACTGTGACGTGGGGGACGGATCCCATCTATCTCCCCCCTCTCTCTCTCTCTCTCTCTCTCTCTCAATGGGAAATGTCTGCAAGGCCCCTATCCTTTCTTCGTGGGAAAGTACCACCCTTTCGTCCTCGACGTTTACCCCCCAGGTCAAAGTTCATGGTCGAGTGATCTTTCCCTCTCTCTCTCTCGATCGGATCAAAAGATCGAGAGAGAGAGAGAGAGAGAGGGCGCTTCTGAATCTGATCGCTAAATCCAAGTACGTAGGAGGCGGGTTTAAATTCGGCCGCATCTTCCACGCTTTGTCGGCGTGATTTTCTTGATAATTTCGGTGAAACCGTCCAGAAGACGCCTCCGCGGTCCTTCCTTCCTTCGAAAGGGCGGGGGGCTGCCGGCGGCGCCGCCAGCCCGCCCCCGCCGCCGTGACCCATGGCGTGGCCCAGAAGCCATTCACACGTTTTCTTCCCAAAGGTGGAGAGCGCGAGGGGCGCGCAGGCCAGATGCCCGACGGATTGACTCAACGACGAATGACGACATTTATTAAAAAAATCCTAACATGGATTAGCCAAGCCGAAGGGTGGGCTCACGAACCACGTGGACGGTGTCCCCACCGCCGCTTGCGCATGCCCAAGTGGGAGAGGAGGCGACGGCGATGACGGTGACAGCGGCGTCTCGCCGGCGGCATCCCAGCTTCGGCCGCGTCTTCCCGACTACCTCATCCCTCCGGTCTCCGCTCGCCTTCTATCCAGTGGCCCAGCTTATCCACCATCGGACGGTCCACACCACGCCGCTGGCTGACCGCAGGATCTGCCGATCCGTCATAGCCTAACGCTGGCGAGAGCCCCTTGTAAAGCCCGATAGCGCAGCCCCTCCGAGCCAGCTACCGTGAGCCGGTCGGCGGCTTCTTGTCGGCTAATCCGGGCTCATGTACGCCTACCACGTAGCTTACCCTCTCCGAGGCCGACACCTGTACTCGGATCCCTTCGAGCCAATCCCTTCTCCTCCTGGCTACCCAACAGTTACCGATTTACAAAAATATTTTTTAATTCGGGGAAAAAACGTGGGTTGTATATCCCTCCACGGTATCTCTGCAGAAGCTGCAGTCCAGATTCGGGTCTGCATGTTATCGTGGCTGGTTTTAGAATAATCATTAAATAAATGACCATCAATTCACGGGGATAATTTTAGTCTTCTTCAAGAAAACATAAAGTCAAAGGGATAGAGGGCGGGGTTACAGGACGTGGGGGTCAAAGGATCAGAAGTCCAAGGAGGTTAGATCTCCTTATCGCCGGGAGCAGCAGCAAGAGCGGCCCCATTTTGTCCCGTAGCACTTGGCATTTTTATTTAACTTTGACGTTCCCGGTTATTATTCCCCTATTTTTTAATTTAAGCAAATGGGCGGGGCGGTGAGCTTACCTGAGCCGTGACGGAAGAAACGGTCTCCGCCTTTATTCGTCAATCAGAAGAACCATGTCGGGGAAGCGCATTGATTGGAGATGGCACGGACCCGGTGGCAGTGCCAGTCCCGGTCCGTCGGGATTTGGCGGGATTCTTCGGGCCGCCGTCCAATAAACCCGGTCGCTGCCGGGCCCCACGGCGGCTGCGGCAGGGGAGCAGTGGGCCCGACCGTACGAAGCCCACTACCGACAAGACAGGGAGAACCCAATAGGCCGAGGCCGTCTTGGCCTGGACAAGCCGAATCAATGCGCCCCGCTAGCGCCGTCACGTGCGGATCGAGGCCCACCGCACACGTCATCCCGCGTGCGTTTTTGTCGCACGTACAGGTTTTATTGTCGTCGGGAACGAAGGATTGAGAAAAGTAATTTCTTTTACAGAAATATCGCGAAATCGCCGAAGATTAAAAGGTCGGAATTTATTTTAGAATAAATGGAAAATACGCAGGGGAAACCGTCAGCTGAAAATAAGTGATAGATATTTTTAGGAGTTGACCGGGTTGGATGGTATTGACGTAGGGGTTTTAGGGGTGGGAAGGGCCCACCGCATATACTTTGGGCCTGCATGGGCCTGCTGTCTCTGTCCTCCTCCTGTCTTTGGGTTCTTCTTTCTCGCCTCTGAAGTCGTCGGTGGTCTTTGTCGGGCTCCTACTCTTTCTTCACCTTTTTGAATTCTCAATACATGAGAGAGAGAGAGAGAGAGAAGGAGTGGACGGTTCAACGACGCCGTGGATTCCTTCGTGTGCCCGGAAGGCACTCTCTCTCTCTCTCTCTCTCTTCCTAATTGACTCTACCCCATCTATAGAGAGAGAGAGAGGGAGTGGACGGTTCAACGACGCTGTGGATTCCTTCTTCTTCTTCTTGCGAAGCCGGAAGTTTCCCTTCCTCCAATCTCAGGAAAATCTAGTACCCGTCGCCGTTGAGGGGAACCCTTGGACTGGTGTCATGGAGAGGGAAGAAAGAAAGAGAAGTCTTCTTCTTCAAGAAAATAAAGATAATCGCTGTCTCTCTCTCTCTGTGAGAGAATGTGCGGCCACAAACAGGCACATGAGCCGGTCATCGCAAGAGGGCCCACGCTGAAGGTCACTGTTGATGATCGAGCGGCTCCCAGGAAGACTGTTGGCGTGGTCAGAGGTTCCTTTCTTTACGCGAGAGGGGGAGAGAGAGAGAGAGAGAGCCCCGAACGCTTCTTCCGGTGATCTTCCCGTCGACTTCCTGACTCCTTCCCGTGCGGGGGTCCTCGAGCGGAGGGTGTAGCTACCGCCATTCCCCCCCGGTCCCCGTCGTCAAGTTTTGATGTTCTCAACGATTAACAGTCCCCGGTGCCCGTTGTTTCTCGCACCACCTCTCTCTCTCTCTCTCTCACACACATCTCTAAAACTAACGATAACCCGAGAATCCCATTTAGCCCGTCTCCACGGCCCATCTCTTTGGGCTCTCAAGAACTGAGTCGAAGGCACTTATCGGTGTCATCACGATAATCGATTTGAAGGCAAATATTTGTCGTGCGGAGACTCAAGAACGGGCCCAGATTTTCGTATTTCTGGTGTAACTATGGTATTATGATGAACGAGGACAACTCTGCAATATTTTCAACCGGTATTAGTCGCTAATGTCATTGACCGCCACTGTTCGGCCTCTGGCGGCGGAGCTCCCCTAATATGGGGAATCCGTCGACATGGCTCCTTCTCGCGGGCTCAGCGATATCATGGAACGGCCCTCCTATTGGGCCACCGTGGGTCTCTTAAACGGGCTCACTGTCTCCCTATTGGGGGCCCGCGTTCGATGAGCCTTAGAAGTGGGCATAGTCCACTGTCACACCCAACTCTCTCTCTCCCTCTCTCTATCAACATTCATGTATTCGCCGAGTGCATGACTAGAAAGAAAGTCTTCACTATCACTCAGCCTCTCTCTACCCCCTCCGATGACGAGCCACGACCGGGCTTTGGACGGTCAACTTAGAACCTGCTTTGTTGACCCCGTTCAGAGACGAATCAGGTCAAGGCCTTAAAAAATCATAGGAAATAACACTTAATATGAGACTCACACTTAACATGAAGGCACTCGAATTCCTTTTTTTTTTATCGAAGAACACGAACACAATATTTTTCAAAAATTAAACTCATTTAAATATATTAAAATACAATGGGACTAGTTTTCATTCATAATTTTTTTAATCACGGTTTAGGTCTTTTATTTATTGGGGGGAATCTACAACAAGATATTAGTAACATTTCATGTTATTTTTCTTTATGCTAATTTTTATAAAGTTTACTCATTATTTTTGGATTGAAGTCATAAATATTACTCAAGGTTAAATGTTCAAATATACCATGTAGTTTTTATTTTTATTTTAAAATTTAACAACCTCAACTTATCAATCACTAATAAGGGTTACAACTAAAAGGTCTTAAGTATGATCTATTAGCACACTTAGTACGCAAAAATTATGCCACTAAATTTTAGTTAAAAATTTTGGGTCATAATATCCAGAAAAAGGTTGAACATTACAGTAAATAATAATTTTAGAACCTTGATGCGTAGAAGATGATCATAAAAACACCACAAAAATATATCTTGACATGGGATAAATATGGTGCTTGTAGAAGCTTCGAGGGTTTGGATACTTTCTTTCCTTTTGCTATGCTTCGATCCTAAAATGGCATCCTAAAATCCGTGCTCAATCTCTTTAGATATATCTATAAAAAGAAGCTAGGCTGGAACGGAGATCTATCGACGAATACCAACGCGTTTTTGTAGGTTAGGCGGAGAACTTCAGGGCAGGACCCATCGTGCACTACGCTTTCCACTTTTCGTATACACCCAATTGAGTGAGATAGATTTGATCAAGGGAGAGAGGGAGGGAGAGAGAGAGAGAGCGGGGGAGGGTGAGAGGGGGAAACGTAGATGGGGAGAGAGGGAGAGATAGAGGGGGGGGAGAGAGAGGAGAAAGGAGGAGAGATAGAGGGAGAGAGAGAGAGGGAGAGAGAGGGGAGGGAGGGAGAGAGAGAGAGAGAGGAGAGAGGGAGGAGGGAGAGAGAGAGAGAGAGGGAGAGAGAGGGGGAGGGAGGGAGAGAGAGAGAGAGAGGGAGAGAGGGGGAGGAGGGAGAGAGAGAGAGAGAGGAGAGAGAGGGGAGGGAGGGAGAGAGAGAGAGAGAGGGGAGAGAGAGAGAGAGGGGGGAGAGAGGGAGAGAGAGAGAGAGGGAGAGAGAGAGAGAGAGGAGGGAGAGAGAGAGAGAGAGGAGGAGAGAGAGAGAGAGGGAGAGAGAGAGAGAGGAGAGAGAGAGAGAGAGAGAGGGAGAGCAGTGAGAGCTGTGGTAGTAGAGAGAGAGAGAGAGAGAGAGAGAGAGAGGGAGAGAGAGAGAGAGAGGAGAGAGAGAGAGAGAGAGAGGGAGAGAGAGAGAGAGAGAGAGAGAGAGAGAGGGAAGATAGAGGGAGAGAGAGCGGGAGAGATGGAGAGAAAGAGAGGGAAGATAGAGAAAGAGTGAAGAGAGAGAAGGCGTGAGTATACCGTGAATGATGGGGGTACAGTAGAACTGGATTTCGGCCTGTGCAGAGGATGCGGGCAAATTTCCTCTAGCGTGGAAGGAAACTTCCGCGTGCAAGGTAGACAGGAAGCGTCCTCAACCTCCTGGACAGGCCAGAAAATGACGGCACCGCCATGCCATCACGGTGACAGCTACGACCGAGACGTGCACCCGAGATTCCTCTCTCCATATCCCTTTCTCTCTCTCTCTCCTTCTCTCTGCCCGGCCAGCCAGAGTGGTGCGCTACAACGGTGATGTCGCAGGCCTCCTCTAACTCTTTCTCACTATACATCCTGCGAAGCCACGAGGGCGGAGGAGACGACCCCCGGCGAAGGAAGGATCCACGAACTTGCTTAAAACCGCCCGTACATGGTAAGTCAAAATGAACGTTGTCTTCTTCTATACTCTGACGAAGACGCCTGTCGCAAAACAGCCGCCTTTCTTTCCGCAAAGAGCTTAAAAAGTGAGCACGTCGTGTTGCTCTCTTGGCAAACGATCTACAGATCGTTTGAATGAGCCAACGCCCTGTCCGCTTGTGGCGACGATCCGTCTCCGGTTGTTGAGCGAGCCCCAGCGGAGACCAAGTCAAGGTAGTCGTTGTTATTCCCAGCATCACACTCACTCACTGGTGGAGACGATGAACCAAGCGAGAGAAAGAGAGAGCGAAAGAAAGGTGTCTCTTGTCCGAGCCCCATTCAACGTTCGCCGACGATTAAACCCGGATTATTCAGAGCAGCCCGCCTCTCGTTTACTTCATAAACATCACTAATCTTAAGAGCCTCAACGCTCGATTCTCTCATCGCAGATGGCCACGCGACTCTCGGCAACGGTCGATCAGAAGGCCTTGGAGCTTCAAGACCTCGGATCTCCGTCCAATGGAGAAGCTCCACCTCGGATTACAGAAAAATACGACGGAATTCCAGATCTCTCGCAAGAACCCGCGCGTCTGAATGACAGTGGAAAACTCAAGCCGTTAAATGCTACATGGCTAACTGAATTGTGGTTGACTTACGCGAGACCAGTTTGATATTTTTATCCGACGTGCACGGAAACCCCGTCTGAGGTGGCGAAATTCCGCCTCAAAATAACCTCTTTTCGTCCTATGAACTCGCCACCTTGTTCGATACACGGGCCCCACACTTTTGCCCTCTTCTGTACATCCTCGGAGGTGCTCGCGCGAACCAGTTAAGCTCGGTGGGGGCGTGCCCCTTCGCCTGGGGCCCCTCCCCCAAGATGACGTAATAAGTGGCCGTGAGTGACGCCAGCGGCTGGCGTGTCGTAACTACTCCACGACGGCATCTGACACGTTGGGGGCCCACACTGGTTGGACTTTCGGTCACGCTATGTTTATTCTCCCCCACGGTGACCGGCGCAGGCTTGTCGGTCCCTCGGGGCCGTTGGGGTGGGGGGGGAGATTAGAGGTGGGATTCATCTCGTGCTTACGGCGTCTGGATGACGTCATTTCCCCGGCGAAATCCCCCGGACAGGACAGCGGTGACTTCACCGCCGAGGAGAAAGATGACCGGAGTTGCTGTCACCGGTCGTCGGCGAGAAATCGCGGAGCACGCGAGAAGAAGGTCAGTCGTCTTCTCGGAGTCTGCGCGAATCCCCTCCTCCGCCGCTGGTACTATAAACCCGGACGGGACGGCCAGCCAGCGCCGCCGGGGGGATGTGAGAGGGCGGCGGCGGCGGAGCGAGGAGAGGGGAGGAGAGGAAGGGAGGGAAGAGGAGAGGAGAAGCGAGGATCTGGTAATGGAGTCGGAGGGGGACAGGAAGCGGCCGGCGGCGGGGGGGAGGGACGGGTGGGGGGGAGAGGGGAAGAGGAGGGAGAAAATGGGGAGGGAGGAGCGAGGCGGCGGCGAGGAGGCGGCGCCGTCGGGGAACCTGGTGGTGGAGGACGAGGTGGAGGAGTTCTTTGCGATCCTCCGCAGGATGCAGGCCGCCTCGAGGCAGCTTTCCGGCGTTGGAGCGGCGGCTCCTAGCGGCCGTATCCCGCCGGTCGGCGCCAGACAGCAGGCGCCGGAGGAGGAGAAGAGGAGCCTTCGCAGATGGCTGCCGGCCTTCGAGTGGGAGGACTTCGTCGAAGAGGGCGATCGAAAGATCGCCGGTGTCGGCGTATCAGGAGAGATGTCGTCGGCGACGTCGGCGCCGACTTCGGCGAGGGTTGAGGAGGAGGAGCAAGAGGAGGAGGAGCAGAGGGGGGCGCAGCGCGGTATCTCCGTGTTCCTCGACCTGAACGCCGATCCAGAATAATGCTGTGAGCGTAGACGTCCCTGCTATATCCATCCTCTATACCGGAAGCGGCGCCTGTGAGTGTACCGCTACCGTCTTGCCGCTCGATTCGTGGTGGAATCAGGCGGCGGATGCCCAAGAAAAATAATGATTTATCCCTCTTCCGCTCTTCGCGCTTCTTCTCCTTCTTCTTCTTCTTCTTCTTCTTCCTCCTAACTATTAAATAAATTATTCACGTAAATACAGTTGAGGCCTGCCTTTTGATTTTATCGGGATCTTGTTCGAGGTTCTGCCTCTTCTCTCGTCTGCTGCTCCATAAATATTTTGTGGATGGATGCTCTTTCGCCCTCTTGGACTCTTCCCAGTCGGCCAGAACGGTTGGTAATTAGCGTGGAAAACATCTCATTTTGGTACATCTTCATGTGGATCATAAACACTGTAAATTTTGGCCCGAGCTGACATATCTTTCGTGTTTGCTTGTTCACGCGCTGGACGAACCAGATTCGAGGTCTCGAGTGGAAATCGACTGGGAGAAGAACTCGCGCGCTGTACCCAGCTGACTGTTGCTAGTCTTCTCTCCAAATCTTCGCAAAGCCATTTGTTCCGAGGGTCAGATCCTGCAGCTTTCGATCCGTGACTGAGTGGTTGAAGCTCCTTCAGCGAAAAAACGTGAGAAAAATTAAACTCCCGTTTCTTCGGAACCATCTTTCACCCGAAGCTTTACCCTTAAAAAAATCGGCCGTCTCGCATATTTTTTTCTACCCATGCGTTTGAAATTTCTAAAACGGAAGGGCCGAAGCCGTGCTCTCTCTCTCTCTCCTTCGTTCTTCGTCCTTCCGGGAACGTCGCTCCCTGAGGATATACGTCATCCCCTCGGGTCCTGGCTTGGCCAGACCCGACCCTCGTAGGTGCATCTCTCTACCGCAAAGCCTGCGGCGGGCCCGACAACATTGCCACTGCTTTGAGCAAAGAGACAGGAGAGAGAGAGAGCAGAGTCTCCATGGGCGACGTTCACGTCTAACCAGAAAATTTATTTTATTCCATTACTTAAGTATTCGTGAGTACACACGAGCACCGAGTACGGTGACGTTGTATTTATATATAAATTAAACTATCGTACTGCGGGAAACGCGGCCCATTTGTGTGCAGCTAGTTGACTGTCTGGATAGGTGTTGTGATAGGCACAGATTAAGCACCCTTTGGGGAATTCGGAGGAACTTTAGCGCAAATTGTTCAGTGATTTTTGCGTGAAGTTTCATGTTATGATAATAAAATATGACTTAAAGGGGAGCACCCATTAGAAGCTTAGTGACCACTCGTCTAAAGCTAATGTTGAATTAAGTTAAGTCTTATTTTTTATTGAACGCATATTTAAAGATGGATGATAAAATATAGCAACATCTTGCTTCATCGATTGCAATAACAGTTGCACTACAATGTTATGTGTAGAGAGAAGATGATATATGTGTGAATTACAGAAAGTTAACTTCAAGCTCAAAAATAATGTGTGAGGGCCCAAGGGGGCCTAAGGTACTTATATTGAATAGTTAGAGAAAAAGCTGGAAGAGTATAACTTTGAACAAGTTAGAGAAAATGAAACAAGAGTTAAGTCAAGAAAGACAATTTGATACAAGGTCCCCCACACCACCCTCGAGTGGTCCCCAAGAGCTCTATTGCTCTCCCTAGTTTCAACCAAGAATAAAGCCTAACCTTTCCTCTCTCCTTTCCCTCCATATATGGTCTATGGTTCTAGAGAGGTCAGCCCCTTTGTGGTTCTCAGCCCCCCAATAAAAGTTTGGTGGCTTTTTCTCTTCTAAGAATATCTTTGGCTCACAAGTACACTAATAGTTGGTGGTCTTACATTACCTTCCATTGCCTCTAGCATCTTTTCCCATCACCTCTGGACTATGGTTAGAAATTCCATATGATAAGTCATTATTTTGATGTGCTTCATGATCTTGAAAGGTCCAAACAATTGGAACAAGCCTCTTTGAAAGGCCCAAATGATATGTCTCTTTGTCAAAGTCTTCATATGATATGGTTGGAGACTCAAATAATGTAATAACTCACTTTGCACTCAATGACCTAATGGTGATGATTCGCCAACTATTTGATGCACATCTAAGCATTGTTGTCCTTTATGATACCTACTTCAAAATCATCTCATGTTCTTATGAGGTCTACCAATGTCAGTGGTTTCATAGGTAATGAGTTAAAGTAGATAGAGGGGTGGGTCCCGACCATATAGAGCACAAAAATGGGTAATATAAAGACAATGATGAAAAGTGAAATTGTATCACAACTTGGCCCATGTAAGCCATTTGCTCCAATGGTGGGGCTCCATGTAAGCCATTTGTATTGGAGGACAAGTATCGGATAAATATTTTTAGGCACTGTTGACTCTTTATTTGATAGTGGTTAGGCTCTACATTAGCTTAATCCCCTAATGTTAATTCATCTTCAATTATAAATGATTGAAGATAATTTTATTATGGTTGAAAATAATATTTTTTTTATTGATGTGACTTAGTCATTGTATAACAAGTCATATAAATTTAAAATTTATAAACTTGAAAATCGTAATTTTTAGATATTTAAAATATTTTGAACAAATATATCAATTATAATTTAAATTCTTTTTCAAAAATAATAAAAATTTTCTAAATCAATCATAGGGATGTAATATAATATTAAATAATATTTACATTTTTTTACAAAAAATATGATTTTTTATAAATTTTAAACTAAGAAATAAAAATAAAATATATTTAAAATTGAAAACAAATAAAAATAAAGGTACATATGTCAAGATGACGTCAACACCTAATATTTAATTGATCAAATTAAGATCTATAAAAGTTAAAAGAATTTTAATTGAATGAATAATAGTTTATAAATTTAACATCACATAACATATCACTAAATGAAGTAGAAATTAAGTTGAAAGTAAGAAATATAGAGTTTTGATCTCACGATAGTGATTGTCAAAATTTTATGTGTTTAGGAGGATCATCGAACGATATTTATAGCCTCAAAGGCTCTCTGTGGATATAGATGACTTGAACATTTGTTAGATTTCTTTTTGAAGTCTAAAAAATAATAATAGAAATTAAATTAATTAAAAAATAATAAAATATAATTCTAATGTCATGATGGTAATGTATCAAAATCCTATGTATTTAAGAGGATTGTTGTGCAGTGTCTATAGCGTCAAAGGCTCTTATTAGACAAAAACAACGTGGACAATCTTTAAATCTTCTTACAAAGTCAAGAGATTAATAAAATAAGTCATTAAATCATATACGATAGTTGTCACCTAATATAGATGAGTTAGATAGAGGTGGGACGTGACTTAGGAAACTATCCTCAAGTCTGTGTAATAAGAAGAGACTCTTCATCACATCTAGTATGCTCTTAAGAAGTGACAACTCGTTCTTTTGATAGATAGTTCTTTATTTGATGACAACATATTCGTCGATCAATCAGAGATAATTTACTCGATAAATTCGTGATCTTTTCATCACAAATTATTCAAAAATTTTAGTAATGATGCTCTATGAATTGTGTTGATGAAATTTTTATCGATGATTTAGTGATTTTGATGACTTAATCCTTCATTAGTGATCTGTAGAAAAATTATAATTTAATTAGATTAAAATATCAATTTTGTAAGATTCAAACCCTTGTTAGTTGTGTGCCTACATGAGAAAGTAAAATTAGTATGTAAATACTCTTATAAAGTAACGTCATTATGATACCTCCTTCTATAAATAAAAGGTATTTGAAGTACAAAAATTATTAAAATATTATGGGGAAGGTGTGACTTAGGTTTAGTCTCACATCAATTATACATTGAATTTTTGGATGAATATATAGTAATACGAGATCTAAGAATCAATGAGTCCCTTTCTCATGTGTGTATGATCACTCATTGCCCCACACTCAGCTGGCCATTAATGACATGGAAGAGAAGTGATGCACTCGTGCTCCTTATTGATCTATCCTTAGTCGCTCAAACCCCTACTTGTGACTTTACTCGATTGTGCTTCAGACTTGTTTGCAGGCTTGACTAGTCAATGGGTCTCCCTTTTTGTATCTTTTTTTTTAAAATTATTTTTTTATCAAAAAATATGATTTTAAAAATTATATAAATTTATATAAGATCACATAAGTAGTCAAAAAATCATATTAAATAACTAAAAACCACTTTTCACAATTTAACATAAATATAAGTCTATTAATCATAAGTTAAGGCTAAAACTATATTATTTATTTATTATTAACTCATGATAATGAAGACTTATCATGAAACCCTATGTAGCCGTATAATCTCTTAGAAAAGAATTTCTCAATATCTTCCATAGAATATGGTTGACGAAGAATTATAAAATGACTATACTTGGCTAACCTATTGATCACTACTAAGATGAAATTTTTACTTTGGGAGGGCAGTAAGTCATTGACGAAATTCATAGTAAGGCCATCACATACATTATAGAATAAGAAATATTTAAAGAATACAAGTAGGTGAGATGGACTTATCTTTGTGTCTTTGTCACAATATGTACTTTGCCACAAGCTTGTGAATAACTTGTTTTATCCTCTACCAATAAAAGTTGTGAGATATCCACTTATTTATTTACAAGTTACTCAATTGACCATCAATGACACTATTATGGTAATAATTTAAGAGTGTGAGGATGAGAGATAAGGTAGTAGATAATATCATTCATCCATTATTGAGGAAGAGGCCATTTGATAGGGAGTAGTGGACCACTATAGTCCCATCTTACAGAAGAGCATTTTGGATTTTATTGATTGTTGAATAGAGATCTACCTCTTTGTTCATGCAACCAATTTAAGGTTTATATCAAATGGAGTAAAAATCTAAACAACTTAAAGATCTATTTATGTTGGAGTTAGCCTAATTATGAAATTGGGCATATAACGACATATTTTTGGATAGTTTCATATTTTTATTTTTAGCTCTTTCTACATTTTGAGTCTATTTTTATCTTAATGGTACTTATTTCCTCTTGCATTCTTATTCTCTTTTACATTCTAATTCTCTTTCTATTTTCAAATTTTAAAATCACCTAAAAAAAATACTTCAACCTCTTTAAAGACACCCCATGTATTCCAAGAGGTATTTTAGTTTTCAATTAATAAAATTTGTAAGTTTTATGGACCTCTTAGTGCTATTGATTTCCTCTTCAATTCTTATTCTCCTTCATATTCTAAGGTACTCTCAATTTGTTAATAGACTCCAATGCTCTAATGGACTCAAATAACTTATTTTCTTGATTATGTAGACTCAAAATCACATCTTTGTGGATTCAAGATACATGTCAACTTCAACTTGTAGATTAAATACAAGAAAACTACAACATAAACACATCTTTTGAAGATTCAAAATATGATTTTAGCCTCGATAACACTAGAGTTGTTTGTAGCTCACCCAAGTCATCTGCAGTACAAGTTTCATTATGTCATATGAAGACATTGTAAATCCAAGAAAGGTAGATGATTAATCAATATCACTTGAAGTTTACTAGCTGCTGTCTAATGGATTAGAGCATTTGTTGTGGTGTTCATACTCTAATATTTATATTGTAAAGACAATCACTATCAACTCACATTCATACATTGACTTAACTTGATTGCATATTGAGAGGGCATGACTATATTAAAATATTAGTTATTATTTTTGTAGAAAATTATACTATCCTTTGGCATGAGGCATCCAACTCTATTTCAAAGATTTTGATAAAAGCTAGACAAAGTAAGCAATGATGGTGAATACATCATTATTTTCATCTTTATAAATACTTGTCCCTCAACTTTTATCTATATGAAGTTGTTTTCCTAATAAGCTAGTTAGTGGATGTGATACTTGGGTCACTAAAAAGTGCATGTAATAATTAGTAAGTCCTAAAATACTTTGAGTTTCTTGATGATGTAAAATGATGGCCAATAATTAGTTGGTTTTATCTTTTCTTCATTAGCTTCAAATTCTTTTGTAGAGAGCTTATGAATCAAGAATTATACCTTGTGGTGAGCAAAAAAATACTTCTAACTATTGACATATAATGAGTGATCTTTTAGAACAGTTAAGGTTAGCTGTAAATACTCTTAGTGTTGTTCTAATGTGTTGTAATAAATAACACCATCTTTACTCCTAATGTCAATAGTTAGTATGACCTTGCATGATGCAGTTGGTAGATTAAAAATAATATTTCTTTTGACTACTATCTCTATTCTACCATTGTTACACACATATAATGAATTACTTATTTTTTAATAATAATTTTAAAAAAACAAACCTATGTTGTCCATTGTCTCATCTCCCTTTAGTGAGTCTTTTTCTTCTAGCTTTTTCCTCAAGTCCATGCAATGGGAAGAGGCTTGTATCATATTTAGTTTTACTCTAGAGAGTCGGCAATTTGTCTTTTGACAAATCATCCTCTTCTTGATGATGACTCATTTGTCAATCAATTAGAGATGATTTCTTCAAAAAATCTATGAAAGATTTTTCTTGAGTATTCACAATGTGGGTAATTTCTAAATCCTCTTATGAAGTTCAAAAATTCATAAAATGACTCAATGAATCATCTCTAGTGGCTCTTACTTGATGGAGCAAAAATTTACTAACTTTCAAATATTTGGCAACTATCACCTTGTAAAAATGAGTTAAATGAAGGTGAGGTGTGTTTCAAAGAACTTTTTCCTCAAGTCTATGCAATGAGAAGATGCTTGTATGACATTTAGTTTCAATTTAGATGGGCATCAACTTGTCTATTGGTAGATCATCTTCTTCTTCATGATGATTTATTCATCAATCAATTGGAGATGATTTTCTCAAATAATATATATTTTTTGTATTTGAAATTTATATTTCATTATTAAGAATGGTCTATAATTAACATTGATGAATTTTTGATTGATGTGCAAATGATTCTAGTGACTTAATCATTGACTAACACTATAAATAAATCAGGAGTTAAATAAGTAAAGGATGTGAAATTTAACACATTAGAAATATATCAACATGAATATATCCATTATAATTTTATATAAGACTTCAAAAGTAGTGAAATTTTTTCACTTTGATCATAAGAATATAATATAACATCAAGAAATATATCAATTTCTTTTCAAAAAATATATATTTTTATAAATTTTGGACTAAATGAGGAAGAGAAAATATATTTAAAAATTTACAAAAAATATATATTAGGTGTGGATGTCATGATGACAATAGCACCATGATGAAGGCAATTCAAATGAGAATAAAATTTCACCTAATGATTATTATGTAAATGATTACTATTAAAATAGGCCCACTAGGCCCACCATACTCATTTTAGACTTATTCTCTCCACATCCCTATTCTTCTTCCACGATCTCCACTTCACTTTCTCTTTCTCTTTCTTCTCTTCTTCTATATAATATCATGTACTCCTCTTCTTCAATTATCAATTCTAAGGTTTTTTCTTCCTGTTATCCACATGATATGAAAGCCATAAAGTTTCTCCACCATTGTCACTATGTCTTTTCTTTTGATATCACGTATCTTCTCTTAGTGCAATCTCTTGTATTGTCTGTCATCTTGCACTATCCATCACGTGAGAAGGGCCACCATTCTTTTCCTCCATGCATCTATTGTGGCAAGTAGAACCACCCACTTGACAAATGTTAGAAATAGATCAGAAAGTCTAATTCTACTCAACTAGCTCTTCTACTTCCTTCACTAGCTTTTATAGTGTCATCTAGTGTCCCGTCTTTGACTTTTAAGTGACATTGACCTCTGTCAAGTATAAAGCGCTATGTTGCTTCAGTTGTACTTGAGTCATTATATAGTAAATCACGTAAATTTAAAATTTATAAAACTAGAAAATATAATTTTTTAGATATTTAAAAGTATTTATAAATAAATATATCAATTATAATTCAATAAAACTTCTAAAAATAATAGTAATTTTTTAAGTCGATAATAAGGATGTAATATAATATTAGGTAATTATTTAAAATTTTCTTCAAAGAATACAATTTTCTATGAATTATATACTGAGAAATAAAAATAAAATATATTTAAAACTCACAAAAATGAGAAATAAGGGTGTGGAAGTCAGAACGTCAACACCCCATAAATGCAAATCGAGTAGAAATAGAGTTCTGTTAAGTGATTCTTACGTAAGTGATTACAGATGATTTAATTGATCAAATTAAGATATGTAAAAATCAAAAGAATCGTAATGGAATGAAATATATCTTGGTAAATTTAAATCACACAAATTATCACTAAATGAAGTGGAAAGTAAGTCTAAAGAGAGCCTTTGAGGCCGTAAACATTGTTTGATAATTTTTTCGAACACATAATTTTGACAATTGCCGTCATAAGGCCAGAATTTTGTCTTTCTTTATTTAAACTTTTTTTTTTATTTTAATGATAACTTGTGTGATTTAAAAGTTTTAAAAATCTTCTTTATTTAGTTATGATTCTTTTAACTTTTACATATCTTAATTTTACTTTGTTTCTACCCAATTTGCATTTTGTTAGGGGTGGTGACATCATCATGATGTCTTCACCCTTATTTTCCTTTTTTGCAAATTTTAAAATCTCTTTTATATTTATTATTTAGTATAAAAATTAAAAAAATTACAACTATTTTTGAAACATTTTATTAAATTATAATTAATTATTTATTCTAAAATGTTTTAAAAAGGTTTAAAATGAATATATTCTAGTTTTATAAATTTTTAATGTGTGATTTATTATATAATGATTATGTCATGTCAATGACTAAGATTGAGTGCTCCAAAATAACATGACAAAACTAGTTGTCATCCTTTTTTGAAGTAAAAGCTTGTGACAAAGAAGTCAAGGAAAATGGTATGATGAATTGTCCAATTTGTTATACCAAGTCCAATAGAGGTGGAATCTAAACATTTAAGCACCTTGCATGAACTCATGAAGATTTCCCATTATCATTTGTATAATCATCACTTTTCAATAAACCAAATGCTAAGAACATAAATATTTTTTGAAATTTTGCAACTATTTTTCAAGATTTAAAATATTTGTTGCCACATTATTGATCCCAAGAGAATAAATGCCAAGAAGGGGGGAGCGGGAAGGTGAATTGATTCTCTAATATTTTCCCCCCTAGTTTTAAGGTTTTTTAGTTGTTCTTCTCAAATCTATACTATGTGGGTTGACACATATTTGATTTACTAGTGGATATTATTCTTTTAAAGTGATTTTAATAATTTCTTTAATTTCTCTATGGGCTGGTAGAGACTATAATAGATAGATATATTGCAAAGTTGCTTCCACTATAATAATTTCTAAATTTATTATAGTAGACTATAATTCATCTATCAATGCTTCCACTATTCTCCTTTAGAAAAGTAAAATTAAATGTCATAAGATCATCAATTCTTTAATATTTCATGGGTGTATCATCCATACTATACATTAAACACTAGTTTGTTTTTTACCTTCATTAAAATTACACTCTCAAAGTACCTTTACATAGAAAATGAAGTTCTAAAAGTTTGCATTGATGTTTTAATACTGAAATAATAGCTTCCATGTTGTTGGTTGTGATTTGAATGCTGGAGTAAACTTGGACATGCAAGACATTGTAATAGATGTTCAATTATTGAGTCATTATTTCAAAGTTCTTCTAATAATTATTTATAGAGACCAAAATTTTGACTATTGGAAATATAAAATATTTAAGATATGAGTGATCAAAGATTGCTCAAGTCAACACGAGCACATTTTTTTACAAAGTTGTTACAAAGTTGTGGATATTAAATTTTCTTGATTTTGTGGATATTTGAATACTTGAAGAAACTTGTTACAAAGTTGTAATTAAGCTAGTGTTTGGAGGAGAGATTGGCACAAAAATGTGACAAATTTTTGGCATAGTTTGAAAATTCTTGCAATAGGCTTTTTGTGGAGTCTAGAATCTTGATTGTTGGAGCTCAAATAATTCAGCTTTAATTGGTTAAAGATAGTCTCTCTCCTTAATTGGTTTAATGGGAACTCTTCAATTGGCACGTGGGGTGACACATTTCTATCTCCTCTTTTCTGCTCTAGAATGACACAAAAATCCACACATTTTCTCTCTTTATATTTTTTATTTTTCTTTAAGTGATTATATATATTTTTTCTCATGGTTTTCCTTCCTCAACTGACTTTCTTCTAATATTTATCTTTTCACTATATTGTGCTTGCAAAATATTATCCAACGATAATTTAATTGTATGCTATAATTTTTATTTTTAGTATCAAAATCATTAAATTGACACGTGATGCATTTGGGATAGTCCAAAACATGTTTAGTAATGAAAGAAATTGGAAGCATGAGATGTCTTGAAAATATTAGCGGAGAGAGCTTTTCAGTTGATTGAGAAAGTGTTTCTAGCTTGTCAATCTGTCATTTGACAAAATGAAGGGCTAACTAAAAGCATCATCTCTCTAACATAAGATAGAGTAGAGTATAAAAAATGGCAAGGTGCTTAGGGTTTTGTTATTTTCAAGGTCAATGAGGTAACAGTTGAAGAAAATTGATATGAACACGAATTTCTTTCCTTATTCATATGTTTGGACAATCATTAAATTTAGAAAAAAATAAAAAATTGGATATATGAGTCACAATTACAAGAACTACCTTGATAAACTCTAAGAGGGGAGGATATAAATATCATGAGGATACTTGAGAGTCAATAATTGTGATACCTCAATCAAATAAATTGGGATATTATAGGAACCCCCATATGCAGATAGTTAGCCAAAGATATGATTTATTTGAGATTGTAAGGATTGGAAAATGTCTTTCATTTTGGCCATTTGCAGAGCATGTTTCGTTCTCCACTATTATTTTCATTGTTGTTACCAGCATGATAATTAATCACTGTCACCTTGCACAGAATAAGGATTTTACCCTATTTATCTTGATAGACAACAGTTATGTGGGCTGAGTCCTAATTGGCTAGAAGAGTACAAATGTCCACAAATGGGCAGAAGAGCCTGAGCACAAGGTCTGTCAGAATCAATAAGTGAAAACTAAAATTTCACTTAGATTTTCATTTTCAAGATAAAATTTCTCTCATATTTTCTTTTTTTCAAGATTTGGAATATCTGCATATTATGGATGATTTCTTGTAGATCGATAATCTCATGTTTAGAGGAAAACTACCCGAAGGAATCTCTGGACAACACCCTTATGTTGATAATCAGAAGCATTATTTTCCAGATGTGCATCTAAAATTTCTACCCTTCATTAAAAAACTGGAAAATATTCATGCGTCTTAAAGTTCTTCACCAACTTGTTCAAATCCGTTTGGTAGACGATGAAGGTGGACGTAAACTTCGGAGATTGTGTGGTCCATGAGCGTAGCAGAAGGATCATCTGATCCGTATCCCACCACCCTAGTTAAGGCACACACCAGCCGTCACATCGGTTTTACGATCCGAAGAAAACCAAGGATAACATGAGCATTGAACCATAACAAATGAATGGACAGCAGAAGCCGGCAACGGGAAAAAGGAAGAGAGAGAGGCAGCAGACAATGACAACTAGAACAGGCAGCCGGCAGAAAAGGGTGCCTATGCCTCGTGTGGCAGTCGAGGCGCAGGGATTTTACAATCCATGTGCAGATGGTTCACGAAGTTGGGGGATTATAAATACCCGAAGAAAGAATGGTTCATTACGAGCAAGTTCAAGGTACCAAGCCCGTTAGCGGAGGAAAAGGCCCAGGAGGACAACACATAGAGAAAAGGAATGGCTTCCTCCATGATGGCCTCCACCACCGCCGTGGCTCGTGCCAGCCCCGTCCAGTCCAACATGGTGGCGCCCTTCTCTGGCCTCTGCTCCACATTCCGGATCACCCGCAAGACTAATGCCGACCTGTCGACCCTCCCCAGCAACGGGGGAAAGGTCCGCTGTATGCAAGTGTGGCCGCCGGAGGGGAAGAAGAAGTTCGAGACCCTCTCCTACCTCCCAGATCTCAGCACTGAGGCCCTCGTCAAGGAGATCGAGTACCTCCTCCAAAACAACTGGGTTCCTTGCCTCGAGTTCTCGAAGGTAATCCTTCTCCCCCATACTTAATTGCTTCTCTGTCTCTCTCTCCGTCAATCTACCTATCTCTAGGTGTTTCTCTCTGCGCAGTGACTCCTCTGATCTCTCTCTCCCTGTCTCTGTCTGTCTCCCTCTCTCTCTCGCTCTCTGTGTCTGTCTCTCTGTCTCTCACTCACTCTATCTCAATCTCTGATCGGGGGAGCAGGAAGGATTTGTCTACCGCGAGAACCACAGCTCGCCAGGGTACTACGACGGGCGGTACTGGACCATGTGGAAGCTGCCCATGTTCGGTTGCACCGACGCCACACAGGTTATCGCTGAGCTTGAGGAGGCCAAGAAGGCCTACCCGAATTACTTCGTGAGGATCATCGGCTTCGACAACAAGCGCCAGGTTCAGTGCGTCAGCTTCATCGCCTACAAGCCCCCGGGCAACTAAGCCCAGTGTCCGTCCCTGTTCTCTGATTCGGAGAAATCGCAGCAGTGGGATTGATTTCATCCCTTCAATCATCTCTCTTTTGTTACCTTCGTTCTTCCTTAATCCCTTTGGTCATCATTCTTGGACTGGTTAGCCGATCTCTAGAAGATGAGCTTACACGACGCTGTAAACGATTTTCGACTGGTGAGGAAAGTGTATGCTCCGGCTAGATGAATGATTTTATTGTCGATTCTCATCTCTTCGACCTTGTAAGCAATTCGAAATAAAATTTTAGTAGAAAATGTGAAATTATCATGTTTCCGTTATTGTTTGATTTCCCAATATTGAAATTCCCACCTATGTTTCTCATTTCTCCGTCGTTGGAGCCATCAGCAAAGAGCTCGCCTCCATACTAGCTATTTGTATAGTGATATAGCCGTGGAGGAGGGTGAGATGGCTTGCGGCTTGCAAGTACTCTTTAGTCCTTGTGGACGGTGACCGGGGTCGCAGTCGATGGTTAAAACGGTTGCGAGTTCAGCTATACAATAATTGAATATAATATAAGTACACATTTTAAAAACTCGACTTAAAAAATCAAAATTACGATTGGAGTCGGCTTGGGCCGACTCCCTTTTGGTAAAAGCCCATAGAGACGAGAACGAAGAGGAGGTGATGGAGGGAGAGCGCAATTACCAGTTGGGACCTAGAGAAAACCTAAATTACTCTACGACTTTGAAGCAGGTAGATTTCCTCACCATGTGATATTAATCCTATTTACTGACACTTTAATACAAAACCTTATATCTATTTAAACGAGACTACGACAAACGTGAGTGTTCCGAAAGGTAAACGCTAGGTTTATGAATTAGTTGATCATTATTAAGCTGTGAATATAATTTTAAGCACCGCAAAGGTCTAGCAGAGGTTTGTTCAACTATAACATTTTCTCTGTGAACATATAAAGATATGTATAAAAAAGTTAACTAATTCAAGCTCGATTTTAAAAAAATAAAATTCCATTTTTTCTCTAATCAATAAAATACATAGATAGTTTGAAATTTAATTATTTTGGATTAACCAAATTAATTATGGACTCCAAGATCTAATGATTCACTAAAAGATGCTCAATCATAACTGTTGAAAACTTGTGGCCCTTCTATATCCCATTTTAATATCTGTACATATAATTGCTTCGTGAAATGCAAGTTCATCAAAGGCATCAAATTGGTGGTGTTAAAATAGTTGGTGGTAATTTATGTTCCTTCTGAAATGAAAGGAAATCTTACGGCATCTAGGAGGTTTAGACTGAACATTAATGATCAAATAGCCAATAATATGGTTTCATTTAAAAGAATAGGTCATTAGAGTAAGAGAATAGATTAGTAAGTGAATTGTTCCCATCTGTATAATCATCAGTTTTATCTGCTTATTCTAAAACAAAAGAATTTTAACATTCTCAGTCATGAATGCTGACATAAAGCGTATTTTTACGACGTTTGGTACGACGAGGTCATGATATCCAATTGTATTCCACAAACGTATTTTATTATATTCAGTCTTTTGTGGTGATGGCTCAATCGAGAACGTGATCCGTCCCCGACTCTTTTGTGGTGCCGGCGGAAGAGCAGGGTCACGCCATCTCTAAGTGCACTGAATGGCTGAAGAGTGCCCGGCGGCCTTCTGGGGTACTGGACCCTGTCCAAGTGATGCGGATTATAAATTGCGGAGAGTGAGCGAGAACCCAATCAGTTAAGTGAGGAGTCTCGGGTCGGGAAGAGAGAGAGCCTAACAGAAAGAGGGAGTAAAATGGCTTCCTCCATGATGGCCTCCACCACCGCCGTGCCCCGTACCAGCCCTGTCCAGTCCAACATGGTGGCGCCCTTCTCTGGCCTCCGCTCCTTCGCCGCATTCCCGGTCACCCGCAAGGCTAATGCCGACCTGTCGATCCTCCCCACCAACGGGGGAAAGGTCCGCTGCATGCAAGTGTGGCCGCCGGAGGGGAAGAAGAAGTTCGAGACCCTCTCCTACCTCCCAGATCTCAGCACTGAGGCCCTTATCAAGGAGGTCGAGTACCTCCTCAAAAACAACTGGGTTCCCTGCCTTGAGTTCTCGAAGGTAATCCCCCTCCGCCAATACAGAATTGCTCCTCTGATCTCTCTCTCTCTCTCTCTCTCTCTCTCTCTCTCTCTCTCTCTCTCTCTCGCTCTCTCGACATCTATCTATCTCAAGGTGTTTCTCTCTACGCAATGGCTTCTCTGATCTCTCTTCCTCTCTCTCTCGTTCTGTGATTGCGGGAGCAGGAGGGGTTCGTCTACCGTGAGAACCACAGCTCGCCGGGGTACTACGACGGGCGGTACTGGACCATGTGGAAGCTGCCCATGTTCGGTTGCACCGACGCCACACAGGTTATCGCTGAGCTCGAGGAGGCCAAGAAGGCCTACCCGAATTACTTTGTGAGGATCATCGGCTTCGACAACAGACGCCAGGTTCAGTGCGTCAGCTTCATCGCCTACAAGCCCCCGGGCAACTAAGCCCAGTGTCCATCCCTGTTCTCTGATTCGGAGAAATCGCAGCAGTGGGATTGATTTTACCCCTTCAACCGTCCCTCTTTTGTTACCTTCGTTCTTCCTTAATCCCTTTGGCCATCAATCTTGGACTAGAACATGAGCTTATACAACGTTGTAAACGATTTTCGATCGGTGAAGAAAGTGCATGGTCCGGCTACTCAATTCATTCTATTGCCTATAATTATCTCTTCGAGCCACGTAAACAATTCGAAATGAAATTTTAAGAAAACGTAATATTTTTTAATGTTTCCGGTATGGTATCATTACCTATTATTGTAGTTTCCACCTACGTTTCTCATCCGTTTGTCGCAGGAGCCATCGGCAACGCGCTTTTTCTCCATGTTATCTGTTAGCAAGTCTCCATTAGTCCTTGTCGACGATGACAGGTGCCGCAGTCGATGATGATAAAGACTTTTGAGTTCAAGTGTAAGAGAATTGAAAGTAATATAAGTAGAATTTTAACCAATACTTGATTAAAAATAGAATTTACTATTTGAGGAAACTTGGGCCCAGCACCCTTTTGCTAAAAGCTTACAAACTCGAATTTATAGTCCAGCTCAATGTTAAGTCTTGGGAAAGAGGGAAACAAAGTGGAGATGACGCAGGAGAGGCCCTGTTACCAGTTGTTATCTGGAGAAAACCTATGTTCTTCTACTACTTTGAATAAGCATATTATTTTTTAGTTCTGGACACAAACTGAATCAAAGTGAAGGTCTAGTAGAGATTTGTTCAATTGTGACTTAGCTCTAGCACATTTGATAGTGTGTAAAATGATAAAATATAAAGATCTATACTTAGAACAGTTAAACTAATTAAATCCCATCTCGAAATAATAAAATTTAAATTTTCTCTAAATATCTAAATAGGATATAAAAAATAAATTAACAGTATTAACCAAAATATTGGATTATTTAGCTGCGGATGTGGACTTTAAGATCCAATTATTCACTAAAAGATGGTAAATCATAGCTGTCGAAAATTCATGTATCAACAAACGTGGCCCTCTTATATCCCATTTTAATATTTCTACATCTAAATGCGTCAAGTGCTACAAGTTCATCAAAGGTATGGAAGAAACCCAGACATCATTTTGGTTGTCATGTATTTTCCTACTAAAACGAGAGGAATTCTAATATGGTCATGGAGTTTAGAGTGAACGTCTAATGATAAAAATGCCCAAGTGCTTTCTTCGATAGAAGAATAGTAAAAAACAATTAATAATGAGTTAATATTTCCTATCTGCATACTCATAGGTTTTATTTAGTTATTCTAAAGTAAGATAATTGTAACATGTTGACAATGGGCATATTTTTATTATATTTGCTACGACGAGGTCGTTATATCATATTGTATTCCACATACATATTTTATTATATGCCACGCAACCATCAATTAAATTATTCGTTTGAAGATAACGCCGCATAACATGAGAATATTCAGTAGGCATCCTCCCCGCGATTCATCTTGGCTCCAACTTTCAGTCGTGATCTACTCAGTATACACATTAACGATGTCTGGATTTTCCAATAATTTTATTTACTCACCGAACATTATTGACAATATTTTCCAAAATAATACCAATTTTTCGGGCTCCGACGACAGGGGGATGTTAGCCCTATCAAGACATCACACTGTGGTCACCATTTCGGGTGGCGATGGCCCAATCGAGAACGTGATCCGTCAGCCAGTCTTTTGTGGTGCTGAGCGAAGAACAGGCTCACGCCATCTCTAAGTGCACTGAATGGCTGAAGAGTGCCCCACGCCGGGCGGGGAGGATGGACCCTGTCGCAGGGCTGTGGATTATAAATAGCGGGGAGGAGAGAAAGAGAACCCGCTCAGGTGAAGTGAAGAGTCTCGGGTCGGGAGGAGAGAGCGTCTAACAGAAAGAGGGAGTAAAATGGCTTCCTCCATGATGGCCTCCACCACCGCCCTGGCTCGTGCCAGCCCCGTCCAGTCCAACATAGTGGCACCCTTCTCTGGCCTCCGCTCCTTCGCCGCATTCCCGGTCACCGGCAAGGCTAATGCCGACCTGTCGATCCTCCCCACCAACGGGGGAAAGGTCCGCTGCATGCAAGTGTGGCCGCCGGAGGGGAAGAAGAAGTTCGAGACCCTCTCCTACCTCCCAGATCTCAGCACTGAGGCCCTTATCAAGGAGGTCGAGTACCTCCTCAAAAACAACTGGGTTCCCTGCCTTGAGTTCTCGAAGGTGATCCCCCTCCCCCAACACAGAATTGCTCCTCTGATCTCTCTCTCTTCTCTCTCCTCTCTCTCTCGACATCTATCTATCTCAAGGTGTTTCTCTCTACGCAATGGCTTCTCTGATCTCTCTTTCTCTCTCTCTCGTTCTGTGATTGCGGGAGCAGGAGGGGTTCGTCTACCGTGAGAACCACAGCTCGCCGGGGTACTACGACGGGCGGTACTGGACCATGTGGAAGCTGCCCATGTTCGGTTGCACCGACGCCACACAGGTTATCGCTGAGCTCGAGGAGGCCAAGAAGGCCTACCCGAATTACTTTGTGAGGATCATCGGCTTCGACAACAGACGCCAGGTTCAGTGCGTCAGCTTCATCGCCTACAAGCCACCGGGCAACTGAGTCTCCCGTCGTCGTAGCTCCACGATTTCTCCAATGTGGACAGCTACTGCTCCGGCTTCCACATTTCCTCTCTCCATCTCCTATTCTACCGAGTCATTATGCTCGCCTTTTGTCGCTCCTGGTTTAGCCACTGTTACTCTGTTAATGAGGATTTACCCACTGTTTGATGTTGGGCCTTTGCAGGCTTCAGTCTTCTCTATCATGGGAAAATAATATTTGCCAAAAAAAGCTTGATTTTCACACCCTATTTCTCTTCACTTGGTGGCGACCAGAGCTAAGTCAACGGATGGCGACAGTCCTCGGTAAAATTTGATGGCTCCCAAGCTCTTAATCGTCTATTGCTCATGTGGCAAAGACACATTCAAGTTCACACGAAACAGACTTGGTGACATCAGTGAGTCTACTTCAGTCATTTCATTTCCGGTTTGATGATTCAATGGCTTCCGCATGACAAATGAGGGGAGGTCTAAAGAACTAGCTTGACCGTTGGACTGGAGATCTAATGTATCTGCCTCATTCCATTTAGGCTTCACCACACCATTCGCTGCCCTCATCTCACCCTAGAAAACCCTCCCTCTTCTCGTCCAGATAGTGGTAAGGGAGCTCATGGGCGGTGAGGAGAGAGAAAGAAAAAGAGAGAAGTCCGATAATGACCTTAACACCTTACCGAACCCTCTTACAAACTCTCTATTGTCTAAGTGCATCATGGATTTTAAGTTATTTTTAAGATTATCATGCAATGATGTAAACATTCGGTGCATATTTTCAACATGTTCTTTATTTTCAAACGGTGATATGACGGGGGTATCAAAAGGGCAAAGATCATATACTTCAGTTTCTATTACAAAAACAAAACTCCAAGTATTTCAGTGGAAGAAGAGAAAAGGAAGGTAAATTATTATTCCAATCATATTCGGACACTTTGTAAGATATTATTTCGTAAGTTGAAATAAAGACGGAATATGTTATCCTACATAGTCATGATTGAAGTATGTAAATCAAATGGCCATACGTGAATTCCACGCGCATAAAGTCATTGAAAAAATGCCAGATTTTCATTAATTCTTACAGGAATTACCAAAAATAGGTATGAAAAGATCTTATGCGAAGGACCAAAGCCCTCTTTAAATCTAAGTCCCCGGGAAGGAGAACAAAACGATAACCCTCTCTCTTGGATATCACATGACGGAACAGGAAATCAGATTGAAACTCACCCTGAAAGCTTGGAATCCATCGCCAAGGGGGGAAGTTGACTGAAGTGTCTTGTTGAAGGGTAAGGAACACTATCAAGGGCAACCCGAGCTTCCCTTTTTCCATGGATTAAGGTGCCGACTTCACAGAGTTCCCCATGGGGAACTTAAGAGTCCCATGCTACGAAAACATGCGATGTCAACAGGAATGAGTAAAGAAGGGTAGCTTCCATCCTTATCTCACAAGTCACCAGAAGGCATTGTGCAGGTAGTATTCTGAGGATGATTGCTTAAACTGCGGTGAGCTCTATGGTTGTAGAAAGGGATGGAGTGAGATTCTGTACAAGTGAACGTTGCGTTTGAGATATTCTACCTCTTTTATACAACGAGATTTAAATTTGGTGGGCACATTGAAGATAAGAAATGTTGACACGCCGAGTTAAATGGCACTGGCAGATGGATAAATTGTAAGTCATAGGACGGTGAATGGAGTGAATCCTATGTTAGCTAGTTGTTTTATCATTTTATCAGGCAAGCCAGAAGGATAGAATGGTCACCATCTCACCGTGATAACTGACTTTCCTCTTGGCAACTTATTTGTTCGACAAAACTAACCATTCTGCACTTCACATGTATGGTGGTGACCAGAGATTTAGATTAGATGAAGTGTACTCCCGCTTGATGTGTACTGAACAGAGGGGCAACAGAAAATCCCAAGAGGTGTTAGAAACATTAAAGAAAGATAATGAACATCAATAGAGTGAGTACAATATGATCAAGAGTAGGAAAAGCATAATTTTGTACTTTATTTATCATATTTATACATCACCTTATGTGATGAGGGGAAGAAATCGATGGCTTTTCCAATGTTACCGCAGTGTTTCTAGAGTTCTGCATTTTCCTTCCTCACCACGTTTATTTTTATCATATTTCACTTTTTGGTTGCCAATTTCATTTTAATAGTGGTAGGACCACCTAAAAAAAGGACTATTCCTGTCCATTGAAGCACGAAACAAAAGATATCAGTAAATACTACCCAAAATACATTAATTTAAAATAGGCCAAATACCTCCTATGGTTTAAGCTTGACATCCAAAGACTATTAATTTTTAAAATGCCGTACGGATATCCATCCATCGGCATCTAATAAGAACAGGTTTTAGAAACCTTTCATTTTCAGCCAACAATACATTAAATTCCACTAAAAATTTCTCAATAAATAATACTGTGGCATATTCATGGAGTCATTTATCCAACTAAATGTGTAACCTGTAGTGGTAAACTAAAGTTGTTTCAGATGGCTTCGACAAGATTGGCACTATTCAAGCATTTAATCTTCTCGTTATAAGTTGATAAAGATGATCCTAGCAAATATCCATGGGCAGGGCTAATATTTCTCGAGAAAATGGCCCCGCTATTTGGAAAAACTGAGAACTAGTAGGATGGAAGCATAAAAGGTTGTCAAATGTTTGCAAAAACAAGCACGGGAAGAAAGTCATCTATAATGAATCTCGGTTTGAATGACTTCAAGCCCACCACCTAATCATGGGGTTTTGTTTTATTTTACTTTAATGTGCGAATTCGTCGCCAGCATCATTATTTCAAATTAGTTAGGGATGAGAATAGAACACAATACAATGTAGCTAATTTAATACCACAATATTCCTAAGAATTTTCAAGGAAAACTTGAATTTTTTTCAGGTGTCACACCTTTTGTCTAAACATTAAGGTCACATATGAACACCTCACTTTGGTAATCTCAACATATGGATTCTCGAACAATTTAATAATGCTCCGACAATGTAACATTCATTTTGAATATCCTACCAAATAGATTCAAAGTTGGTACGTCAGAGACCACTTCTCCGTCAGGCCCCTTTAACTCATTGATGTAAAATAACTGCGGGAGTCATCTATGGCTCAAAAATTAAAGCATTATGTAAGGATAAAAATCAAAGAAATTTATGGAAGAGAAGAACCTCGAAATAACGAAAAATCATTCACCCTAGAAACGTTGGACTTCTGCATGACCTTACCAGTTTCTCTGGCAAGGGACGCTCGGCAAAGTATAGGCATGATTTTGAGGTTCCATTGGCATTCCTATTTGATGGTAAAAAATAAAATATAATGGAATTTTAAAAGCATGAAGCAATAAGTATGAAATAGACACATGATTACGAACCACTCGGCATCAATTTAAAGCTCGAGTTCCGGCTAAAGACAGAAGCACAAACGGGAGAAATTGTCGAGGCATCCGCCTGGAAAAGTAGACGGTCGCTCACCTGTTCCCAAACGGAGGCAAAATTGTATCCCCTTGAGACGGCGACCGACTCGGGCAGCGGCTGCGGCGTTCCCGGGCACGGCCTCGCGGCCGCCGCCGCCGCCGCCGCCACCGCCACCACCGGCGTCATAGGACGGGGAAGTTATAGGACTCCAGTTCGGAATACGATCCGGAGGATAGTAAATCAAGGAATAGCGGGAACCGGGATCTGGACAGACAATGTGAACGGAAATATGGGAAAATAGAAATGGAAGTAGAAGATCAAACCAGACCGCAGGAGGAGCAGCTTAGGCTCCGAAGAACCCAGGAGTCTGTGGGGACGTTCCAGAGGCTCCCCGCTCCGATTCCCCTCTACGACCTGAGCTGAAATCCATTTTCTGTATGAAAAGACCTAACTACCCTTCATTAGGATGTGGTGGGGCCCCGGGGGGGGGGCAAGGGCTTGGAGTGTCCTCTAAGAAGATGCCAAATATCCTCTAAGCCGGCTCCAATTGCTACAGGCGCTGGACAGGGTTCCCCTCCGGTCTCTGCTCGGTCCAGGGATTTTATAAACGCTACACTGGGAGGAATCAGGGTTTTACGCATTGTTTATGCTAGGTTTTCAAGCTGCGGACGGTATCTTAACGCGGGGTCAATCCGATTCCAATCCAAATGCTACCCGACAACCAAGTCTCTACTTCGCCGCAGATTACGTGGCTGCACTTAAGATAAGAAGTAATGCCTAGAAAGAGAGAGAGAGAGAGCTGTACCGGTGGGCAGAAAGGAGGGGGGACGAGAGAAGAGATAAGATGAGAGAGAGAGAGAGAGCGTCCGGTTCGTCTCTCTCAGCTGAAAGCGAGATCTTGGACGATCCCAAGCCAGTGCCCCAGGAAGCTCTGGGCGGCGGCTGGTGATTGAAGGCAACGGCGGCGTGCACTGGTGGACGTCGAATCGGTGGACGATGGATTACCGGATTCGGGGAGGGACCCCGACGGAACCGGACCCCGCAGCTACTCCGGCGACCAGCTTGGTCGGTCGCCGGAGGTTCGCAGGAGAGAAATCCGGGCCCGGCGGGGTCAGAGCTGCACCATGTCCGGTGATTATGGCTTCTTGTCCTTTGGCCCTGGTCTGTCGCCAACGCCATGTGATCGGACTGGGCCGACGTTCATCATGGCAACGTGGGGCAACTCAATAAAAGCCAAACTTCATAGTCCGTACCAACCAAGATATTATTTTTCCCTTTTTTTCCTCCTACCTTCTTCATCTCATCTCATCTGAAGCGTCAAGTAATAATAATAATAATAATAATAATAATAATAATAATAATAATAATAATAATAATAATAATAATAATAATATCTTTTTGTGCGATTCCCAGTTAATAATGGACGCCTCCTTTCTAACCCATGATTAGAAAGCGGACAATTTGTTAATAAATTAAGGGCGTAGCCTCCCTTAGTTTAGCAGTGTATTATTATATGGTAATGCTTGTGCAGATTCCGATGCATGAAAAACCTTTTGAGATCTGCAGTGAAAGTATTCCATTGAGATGCTTGACTTTCTCTCACGATCCGTTGTGTTAATGCGACACCGTCCGCACAAGCAGGGATCGGCTCTGAACAAGAGCTTCATGATGTGATGGAAATTAATTAATAGGTGCCCTAAACAGTGCGTATCAGTTTTAAAGGCTCGAGTGAGATGAACAGGCGCCCTAGAAATCAAGAACAAGCATCGGAGGAAGAGGCGGATTCCCCCGTCACAACCAGAAGCGTGAACGACGAGAAATGGTGACCCGAATTATCCCAGACTTGCGGGCAGTATTGAGCAGTCATTGAAGAGAAATCAGGTGAAGAGATTAGCGAAAGAAGATCACATGATGGAACCGATATGTTACGTAAATTTCAGAGGAATATCTTGCGGAGCCGGAATAAAAGAAAGCGAGATCGTCCTCAACTGTGAAAAAGGCGAAACCAGAATAGAGAGATCTACCTTCGTCTGCCCACTCCAGAATCGAGTTTTGGAGTTCCATGTACAGGTGAACAACCAGTGTGATCTATCGGCGGCATGAAGGCGGTCAAAGAGAAAGATATCAAATCGTCGTTCTATAGTCGTCTGCCTCATCTTCCTTCTTCCTCTTCGTCCTTCTCCTTGGCTGGTTCTGGTTTTCGTCTTCAGGAGACTTCCAATAATACCCTCGCTCTGCAAGACCAGCAGTCTTGCCAGAAGACGGGCGCATTCCGGGAAGCCGACGAAGCTGATCGTGAGGAAACTTGTAGGTTACACAGATGTTCCAGCGTTGTTACCGGTTATGGAGGGGATCGGGGCAGCTGGGAACCCTCCTCATGCTATTGAGAAACTCCTGCGGCGGCGACAATCGCGACCGTGATCCCTGTTGGAAGACCTGCATCATGGTGGAAGTGGGGGGATTGTGACCGGCTGGCGGCGGCCAACTGTCGGGGTACTCCGTCTCGTCGGAGTGCTCCTGTGCCGCCGGGCTTGCTGGGATTACCCTAATTGCCACCGCCCTGCAGCAGAGGGAGGAAGCCCACATCTGCAGCGCCCAGAAGCCCATGAGGATCACCAGGCACTGGAGTGGTCTCCTCCTCGGCCCCGGTGACGGCATTGAGAAACAATGATATGACTCCGCCGGCGCTACTGCATCACCCAACTCCAGGTTCCGCGAAAATGTTCGATCGATCGATCGACAGAGAGAGAGAGAGAGGGAGAGAGAGAGAGAGAGAGAGAGAGAGAGAGAGAGAGAGTTGAGGATGATGAAGAGAGAGGGTTATTTGGATGCCACGTGAGGACAGAAATGTGTCGAAGTGTAGCTGTGAGTCCGGGGAAGGGATTTATAAGAGCTTGAGAGGGAGAAGTGAGTGGGTGGTGCCCACAGTTTTTTTCTGAATTTTCAATAAATTAGGGATTGAGTCTCTTCTGGACGCAGTCAAAAGGGCACTGCTTTGAGATACCGCTGATACCGGGGGACGTCTGAGCAGCCGTAGGCTTTTGATCCTGTCACCGTCGTCCACCAGCGTAATATCGTACGAGAAAGATGGAAGAGGTGACCTCGCGCCACCGGGTACTGTCTCCAGCCAAGTGACCCAACCATCATGTCCAAAGATCTCCCCGGTGGCCGCATGACGTCGCGGCTGCGACCTAAACCCTGCAGTCACCGGAGTTCCGATTACTGCTGCCGCGTTGGTCACTGCGGCGGCCATCGGTGACCTCCGAAGGCAGATCTGCCTTCGCTCGTCCCCACATGAGAAGAGAAGACCCCACCTTTTTGAAAGTCCAAATGTTTGACATTATGCGCAGCAGCCCAGCAGGAAGGCAGTGAAGCCATTCACGAAAGGCCGCCGATGGTCGACGATGCGATTTCTGAGGGGTTTTGGAGGACGAAAAACTGGGAGGGGGCCAGAGCGAGACTTTTTATTTCTCGTTGCGAAGCTCAAAACGGGGGGCCGCCGGACGTCACCCACCGTTGGAAGCATCCGAGCTCCACCTTGGCTTTTGCTTCCCATTTGGCGTCTTCCTCTCGTCTCCTTCCTCTCCTTCCGTCGGTGGTCCTCTCCTGCTGCCACCCTGACGGTCTAAACTCACAAATCCCTCCAGGGACCCTACAGGCGCCTCCTAACGAAGGAACCTACGCCAAATACGTCCACTGCGGGACCCGATTTTCATAAATTTTATTTGGGCCTCAAATTTATTGAAACGTTGTCGTCTGCTTGTTCGCAATAAATTTTATTTTAGCATGTCTCGGATGTAATGGTTTTCCCAGCAAAACTGGTTAATGCACTCATTATACAGTAACAAATATTTGCACCATACAATAAAGTCCGCGATACCTAAGATATATCCTCATATCGTACATTGATCACGCTTTCAACAAATACTGCGATGGAAAAAGATGGTAGGCTTTGAGATGGATTGAACCCACTCATGACTCCGGGAGATGAACACCACCCCACAATCAAGCTATGACCCGTATATGCTAATAGGAGAAAAAGATGCACTTAGCGAGAGAGAGAGAGAGAGAGAGAGAGAGAGAGAGAGGGTAAAGGGCAGAGAAATTATGGAGAATAATGGAGACCACCTACTTGTGTGCTTAAATTTTACCTTCGTACTTTGACGTGGTGCATGAGAAGACAGGAAGAAATAATTTATACGCAAATAAACACGGTATCCCCTCAGTGATCGCGTACATGAAGACGGTCACGAGAGCAATAAACGTTAGTTGTCAAGCAATTGTCATTCATATTTCACGTGAGGTGATCTAGTCGATTGGTTCAGCCCTAAACCCACGTGCATCGCCGTGGTTCATAAATACTAGAGGCACTGTAGGAGGATGGACTTGTAACATATGATGGACTCATCATTCTCCCGTGACGGCCTCCGCAGTGCCGAAGGATGAGTGGTCTCTGATCCACAATCTCCGTGGCTCAAAGTGATTTTTGCTACCGCAAAGCGGAAAATTGCAGGAGCCATTAGAGGAGAGAGAGGGCGAGAGAGAGAGAGAGAGAGAGATGAACTGTCAAGTGAGTGATCTCTAAAAGTTCAGGGACATTTAGATTGACCCTAAAAGATATATAGACCCGAAAGAGAAAAATCCAACTACATGTTTTCCTTCGCATTATTTTGAGGAAGATAAGATGGGGTTGAAGACCGTTGGCAGTTACTCTTGAAGCCCAGATAATGGGCTATGAGCTATATAGCTGTCGGTAACCGTACTAGAGATAGACGACTATCACGTTAAGTGATCGCAATAAGTCGTACGCATTTAAATTGACGCCATCGAAGTCTTGACCATAAGCCTAACGCCTGCCATGGGCGGAGGGGAAGAATGGCGAGCCGAGTCAACTCGGTTACGGGCTGTATCCGAAGAGCATTTAAGCCGAGGGAAACGGATGAGCGGTTGATTGAGGGTAAAGGCACCTGCAGATTGCTGGCCAGGCGATAGATTCAAGCCGACGTCATCACCCGGCCAGGACCGTCCCAGTCGCAGGAATCGTCTTCCAGAGGCGGGAATCATACTGATGGCATTCATTGCAGACCTCATCAAGAAACATGCAACCCAACTCCTGTGTGTTCATATTATCGGAAGCTGCCATATCCTCTCACATGAAAACTCCCAACTAAGTCTTTACCGATTGATATTTCTTGATCGTATATGGAAGCATATGGACGTGTTGGGTGGCCAGACCTGTCAATCTTTATGAGGACAGATGGGGACCGGGACCAGGAAAAGACCGAAGAATATGCGTTCGTCGGCGCTTGCCCAGAGCCCAGGTGAGCCAGACTCGGACCATCTCATGGGGAGGTGGTGCCGTTAGGGTATATGGTTTCCACACGAGGGTTTGACCGGCGGCAGCATCGGTTCACAACCGTTGAATTTAATTTCAAATGAACGGCTAAGATGTTTCTAAGATTAATTAAAGTAATAATCTCCCCTTCGGTACAATTACGAAGACCTTCTGCTTTATCAATGGAGTTAATAATATAAAGTGAGAATGCAGCTAATAGTTCACCTTTTCCGGACACCTAAACTGAAAATAAGGAATAGTCAGTAAAAAATTAAATATATGAGTTAAATACGCCTCCATTAAAGTTACCTACTATTTCTACATTATCTTAGAAGGTAAAGAATCTCAATATGCGAAGTCATCTCTGGGCAGGACCACAGCTGAAATTTCAGTTGTTCTCATTGACATGAAAACTGCAAAAAAAGGAAAGAGACCTGTGTAAATTACATATACAAGTTCATGAGTATAGAGAGAGAGAGAGTGTGAGAGAGAGAGAGAGAGAGAGAGAGAGAGAGAGAGAGAGAGAGAGTGATTTATAGCTGACATGACGGCAAGTGAACAGAGTGGAAGCACTTTCACCCTCCCGTACGAGCAGCTACTTATTGTAGGGTTCTTTCATCAGTTATTGTAGGGTGCTCGGCTTACACTCGGAAAGGATGGGCGTCAGGTGCCAATAAAACCCATTGTACGAGGTGCGAAAATATTCTACAAATTTTCCGTCGAGAGATGTCCCTCAAAACGATTATTTCTTCGAAAGTAACAACTTTCCTGATCACGCTATGTATTCATCTCTTATTCACAGCCCCTCGTGAAGATATCACGCTTCGGTTCGGCAGGAAGGACGCCATACTGCACGCAGTTGACTATAAGAGAAAATCTACTCTTAGGTGTAAATACTCAAAGGAGGATCGTTCGAAATGCGATTCTATCGTCTTAATACTGCTCTTCACCACGTTCAGTAGGTAGCTGAATGCCCTTTGAGAATTAGTACGAAGACTTTGGCCCACCCAAGGCCCAACGGGCTGCAAAGGTCCACTAGTTGACTCATCTAAAGGAAGACGATCTCAGGCTCGCCCGCTCGCTCAGTAGAGGCTTCTAGATCAGACGTGGGCCCGTGTTGAGGCCACCGTGATGGAGCCAATCCTTGTCGGAGCATGATGTTGGGCCGGACCCCAGAGCTAAATCATCTAAAGTCCAGTTGCCGGGTTCAGTTTTTTGCTCATCTTTTAATGGGCAATGTCCCCCCGGAGTTGACCCAGTCGCTTTCCGGGGCTTTTAATAGGCCTTGAATATGCGGTTTCTGGCCCAAGTTGGCCTTTTTAATATTTAATTGATCAGGTCATCGGGCACTAAGCGACCGTCGCCGTAGGATTCTGACAGCCATGAGTTCTTCGGCCTCGCCGCGTTGGACCAAGCCGCGTGCCCGGCACGCGTCTAGCATTATATTAATCCTAGCGCGGTGTACAGCTGGATCTTTTCGTAAAATTTATTCGGCTTATCTGTCAGAATGAGAAAAAAAAATAAAAAGAGCATAGTTTTGTACTTATATATGACCGAGTCATGGAGAAAAATCGTCTCACAGTCGTCATGCATGACCTTGAACGATGAACCACCGCGGCGGACGGTCTCCTTCTCCACCCTCGGAAGTTAACTCTACGAAGGGCCACCAAACCACTCTCCACCGAGCTGTGTGCGGACCACGCGCCGCCTCATTAGATATTTCCCTGTCATGCACATTCGCTTCTTCTAGAACCCCGATGAGCTGCCCCGCTGGCGTTCGTCGTTCATTAGGTCACCACCTCTCAAGGTGCAGCTATGGAGGTGGAAACGTCAGCTTCCATTGACTCCAGCTGAGTTATCTGTGGCCCCTTCATATGCAGTCCCCTTAGCCTTCTTCGGCCAAGACGACGCAAAGTCAACCAAGACCGCCAATCATGGTTTATCTCCCTCGGAGAGGGAGAGTCTCATTGAAGGAAGAAGCCAGGGAAGGAAGGGAAGATCTCCCCAGTGTGCTCTCACAGGATTCTGTGATCCCGTGTGCCAAACGTCTCCAGGGAGCTTCCCTGCCCCAGGGTCCTGGATTTTCCAGACAGCCGGGCAGACCCGGAAAGGATTGCGGTGCCGTAGTCCGGAACCCTAAAACCTGGAAGGTGGGACCGGACCCAAAGGCTGCTGAGATGAGTAGCCGCATTAATGCCGGAACCTGCCAGTTTCGGCCGGCAGGATAAGCCATGACATCAAAACTCCCGGTTTCCCCCACCAATCACCTACCGACTGTAACTCTTGCTTTTAATGCCTTTATCTTCGTTTTCCGTGTCTTCTCCTTCTCTTCGCAGATGATTGAAAGGAGTCCACAGACTGACCATGCCCCGGAGCTCAATGACGCTCGTCGATATTATTTTCTGGGGCTTCCTAGTTTCTTTGATGAGAAGTGTATCAAATAATTAGCAATGAAGAGAGATTGGTAGAGACTATGAAGATAGATTGTCGTCTATATCTCTCTTAGCGATCTTCAACCCTTGGGTGTTCTTCCTCTGTTCATCTTCTCACACATTTTGTCGAATAAATTGTGGTCGATGAAGAAAAACCAGTGAACTTGAAGACGTATGTGAACACGAAAACAAGGAGAGAGCAGAGATGCTCCCTTTTCCTTTCTGTCTCTGTGATGGCTTCTTTGGGGGAGGGGGAGGATAACCCTCAGAAGGTTTGTCCTCATGAACAAAGAAATCAGAACAACCCTCTAAGCGAGAGAGAGAGAGAGAGAGAGAGAGAGAGAGAGAGAGAGAGAGAGAGAGATCCAACGTAAGCCCTAATGGCGGCGGCTGCTAGTAGGACAACTGCCGTGTAAGGGCCTTCTCGTGTGTCTGGAGCTCACTGGTTTCATGCCCAGTGTAAGCTCCAGCTCCAACTTGCAATCATCTACCGCCCGGCTGTTGTCCTTGAGGAGATCGGCGTCGTGGTTCGTCACCATGGAGGTCTCCCCCGTCTCGCCGGAGGCCCGGCTGGGGGACGACTCATGGCTTAGCCCACTCTGAACAGACACTGGGCTGCACTGTAGACTCTTGAAGAAACTAGACGAGAGGGGGTCGTCGGCGTGGGCAACCTCGGCGAAGTCAAGAAATGATGAGGCGCCGCCGTTGGCGTGCTTGTTGGAGTTCCCACCCGGGCGCTTGAAGTGGGTGCGGGTGGCCGGGTTGACCTTGCGGAGGCAGACATCGGCGGGGCCAGCCGCCGCGTCCTGGCCAAATAGGTGCGAGGCTGTGGCCTCCTTGGAGACGTGGCGGATGTCGTAGGAAGAGGTCACGGCCTCGTGGGAGGAGCCCGCGAGTTTTGGGCCGCCGGCCTCGGAGGAGACCCGAATGATGGGGGCGCCCTTCAGCACGGCCTCGACGGCCGCCTGGCACAGATGCCAACTGCCGGACCAGAGGAGGCCGACGGAGCCGTACATCGGGTTGACCAACCTCCCGCACGACTCGTAGAGCAGCGACCGGAATATCGCTGCCGCATCAGAACAAACGGTCCGTTAGTAATCGTAAACGTAATCTTGATCCGATAATTCGATGCAAGGAACAGGAGAGGTGTTTTCTGGGAACGAACCAGGGCGGAGGTCCTCGGCGCCGCTGTTGATGAGGTTGATGAGGCCGGCGCGCCCGTAAAACTTGCTCAGGAAGATGGTTGCGTTGGCCTGAGACTCGGGGCTCTTGATCCACTGAAGGCAGGGGCGGATGCTGCAGTCGTCCCCGCAACCCTTGCGCAGCACCCTGCATCCGTTGCAGCTCATTCTCATTCTTGCCGCCGTCGCCGCTTCAGCTCCTTACCTCCAAAGCCTTCCGCCGCTGCCGGCACCGCCGATCTCTCCTCTCAAGGGAGTGCCCTCTTTCTTTCGTCGATACTCCCGAAAGTCACCTTCTTACAGCGTCTGCAACTTCCTCTAATGGACGGCCGGAAGAGTTCCCTGAGGGACCGACCAATCGGAAGTGTGGGCGACGGTGAGGAGAGCAGGAGAGTAGGGTATATATGCAGCTTGGCGGCCCCTTGCAGCCAGGAAAGAGGACTGGAAATGAAAGCGGCCACCGGTTTACAGAGTGGACCCAGAAGGCGGTTTCGCTTTGACTAATCGGAACTACTACGCCGTGACCGACGACGCGGTCCGTCTACATACTCTGACGACGCAGGCTACGGGACCCTAGGGCTCGATTTTGTCCCAAATAATGGGTCCATAGGACCCATAAGATAGGATCCGAACCGACACGAAGGCAGCGGACGGTACTTCACATTCCCTCGTGGGGTAGACTTGCCGACAGGTGTATGGCACGTGCCGACAAGAGAAGGCTACCAGCCCCCGCTCTCCGACGTGGACACTCGGGGAAGGGGGCCTAGTGTGATGACATGTCATGACACGTCGGCGGTCCCTTTCCACGTGTAGCACGAGGCATGAGGCATTTTGGGACGAGTTGGAGAGAGAGTAGGAAGACTAGTTCCGATCCGAGTCCAGATCGCGTGAGAAATCGGATTGGTGGGTCTGATCTGAAACACCCAAAGCAGGCGTCATAGGAATCGAACGGAGTCCCTGCTGCTGACTGGTGTCAACGGCCACTTATGGCGCACAAACCTAGTCGAAAGTCCGGCCTGTGCGGTCCTAAGCCCGGGAAGAACAGTGGCCTCCATTGACTTTTCCTGAGGTTAAGGAAGAGAGGTTGCACTCGGTTCACGAGTGATGAAAGACCCTCTGGTAGAGAGAACTGAAGAGTGCGAAACGGAGAAAGACTGCGTGTGCTGCTGCACATAGTTCATGAGTGATGAAGTGCTGGTAGAGAGAACGAGGAGCTGGAGAGAGTGTTCCGGGAAGCTAGTTAGGGATGTGGGAAGCTCTGTGGAGTGTTGGAGCCGAAGAATTGGACACAGAGAGACAAACAGAGAGAGAGAGAGGGGTAGGAGAGAGAGAGAGAGAGCGAGAGAGAAAGAATGGTGCACTAAGTTCAAGGGTGACGAAGAAACTCAGGCAGAGAGGAAACGGAACAGTTTCAGAGAGGAGAGGAGGAAGGGGGTGTGGGGTGGGGGCGTGGTGATGCATACAAGTCAAATGGGAGCGTACACAAGACTCCCCTGACAATGGTTCTCGTCGAGATTCATCCGGGTAGGGGTACCTTCTGTACTGCCGTAGCGCCATCGGCGTCTCTGAGCTTCCCGAGGGGAGAAAAAGACAGAATCATCATGTCGGGACTTGTCTCTCTAACTGGAGAAGAATCTTCGTACCCCCCCGTGTTGGCGGAAATCGGGGAGGAGGGGTCATCCCTCGTTCTCTTCCCCTCTTCATGGCGACACACAATACCTTAATTTGCTTCACGTGAACATTGGAACTCGATATCCTCTCTCTCTCCCACCCTCTCTCGAGCAGACCTCCCTGATCCGAAATATATTTTCCTTAACAAGATGACCCAAGAGGTGACATTAATCTGTCGCTGTACGCACAATGATGAAATCAATGCGAGGGTTCATTCCTTTAGGTTGAGCCACAATGAGTAAGAAGAGGGAGGAGAAGAGACCACGTCACCCATTCACCACTTCTGCTTTTAGGAAGTCGTTTCTCCATTCAAGAGACCACTTGGCATCTTTTGGGAGGGGACTCCTCTAACTATCTTCCTTTATTTTCTATAAATACTCAAACTCAATAATAGTAGAAAAAAAGTTGAAATTAAATTTAAAATAAAAAAGACTCATGTTATCTCTCTCACCTCTTGAATTTGGGGTTCTTTCTCTCTCTTTCACTCGCCTCTTAGATTATGGGTATCTTTTTCTTCTCACCCTATTGGATTAGGGAGACCTCTTTACTTCTCTTCTCCCACTTCGCCGTCCTTCCATCTTGTTGTCATCCGCTTGTGTATGTTCCACCTCCTAGCCGTCTGCTCCATCGTCGTCATTCCGCCTTCTAACCATCCGACCTGTCACCAAACCCACATTTCTTTCCTCTCCTACTATCACTGTCATTCTGTCTCATCACCGCCTAACCCGTCACCGCCGTTTCGCCTCCTCGCCGTCCAACCCGTCGCCGCCATTCCGCCTCCTTGCTGTCTGCCTCGTCGCCGTCATCCCGCCTCCTCGTCGTCCACTCCGTCACCGCCATTCCACCTCCTTACCGTCCGCCCCGTCGCCAGCCTGTCGTCACCACTATACCCCCTTCTGGCCATCCTCTCTTCGTGTTGCCACCTACCGACTTTAGCCTCCCTTCTCGACGAGACCGCTCTCTTCTCTTACCCGTCGTCGCCATGTACCCCCCCTTCATTTTCTCTCTTTCTCTCTTTCTTCTCTCTCCCACCATCGCCACATACCCCCCCCTCATTTTCTCTCTCTCTCTCTCTCTCCCACCGATGTCCTCTCATTCCGCTCCCCTTTTCTCTCTCCACCTTTTATTTTCTTTACATTATTATTTTATTATTTCACCTCACTTTTGTACCTCATTTTTAACCTCCAGCTCAAATAATTCATTCATTTCAAATCACACCAATCCACTAAGTGTGAACTTTGAAAAATCACTAATAAATCTCACGGAACTCGAACCAATAAGAATATTTAAGATATCAAATCTCTATTATAAAGGTGTGTTGATTTTTAAATTACTTATAAAATTGGTCATTATTTTTAAATCTTTGCTCTAAAAATTTGTGAGATTCATAGAATAGCAACCTTTGTGTGAAAAATTGACGGTCTTGACCCTGGTTGAGAAGCTTTGTTTGATTCTTTAAATTAGATAACTTAGTAGGTAATTAATTATCCTAATTCTCTTAAAATTACAAGATCATCTGAATATTAAGCCATCTAAGTTTTAATTTTGATCAACTTTAAACATTAATGTGTAGCTTTTTTCAAGGAGATCTATTATGACCCTTTGTACCACAGCAATTGGTATCAGAGCTAGGTTTAATTACCATAAGAATATAAGATTCTCAATTAAGTGTAAGAATTTCATTAGACTTAGGCCTTCTTTGTTAGTCTTAGATCATTTTCTCTTGAAAACTATATTTGTATTAGACAACCATTCTTTCATGCATAAACTTTATAAGGTTTTTACATTCATTATATCATGTAAGTTTTATAAAAGTATTTGTAGATACATACTAGATCAAGTAATATCTATTCTACTAAGGAAGGAGAATCTCATAGATCCATGGATGAACCTATACCTACATGGGCTAAGATGCTCTTAAAAAGGGTAGAAGCCCTTAGCTTCCAAGCGGAGGAACAAGTTCAAAGGATGTCTATTATAAAGTCAATCAGGGTTTCTCCCATTACTTCGAAACAATCAACACCAATCTTAAAAAACATAGGAGACACACTCAATTGAAGAACCCAAAAATGTCATCCCTAGAGTACATAAAATAGAATCTAATTATAATCATATCAAAATAAATGTCCATATCTATGACGGAACCCTTGAGCCTAGAGACTATCTTAATTGAGAAGCCCATTTAGATAGCTATTTTGGGTGGTATGAAATGTCTAAAGCAAGGAAAATAAGGTTTGCTGAATTAAAACTTTTAGGACATACTAAAACTTATTGAAAAAAATCTAGGAAGAATCCTTGAAAGTAGATTCTAAAAATCTATAGGAACATGGGAGGAAATGAAAGCTAAATTAAGAGAAAAATATATTCCTCTCAACTATCAATCCAAATTAGTAGATCAATGACAAAGGATTCAACAAGGTGATAAGACTGCTCTAATGTATGACGAGTTAATGATGACATATGGCCTTTGAAAGGATCCTACTCTCTTCCTCTCTAGGTTTAGGACTGGACTAAGAAATAAAATTATGAGAGAAATCATCCTTAGAGATGTGAGAACATTAGATGGAGCATATAAGGCATCCATTGATGTAGATATATTTTTCAAATCAAACCCTAAATCCTCACCATCACCTTTAGAAAATTTTAGGACAATTTCTTCAAATTTTATATCCCCTAGAAATGATAATTAACAAATAGTTTCTAGGTCAACCTTCCCTAAAACTACTCTCTCGCTAAACAATAAAAGAAAAAAAGTAGTAGAAGTATCTAAACAAAATCCTAATTGTAGAATATGTTTCAAATGTGGACAATTTGGCTAGATCGCATCTACCCTTTTTAAAAGAAACTAAAGTCTTACCAGAAAAAGAAGACCATGATAAGAAAATTGAAGAAGAGAAATATAGGGTGGATTCTGAATTTGATGAACAAGAAGAATCTAAAGACTTTATTCATGTCATGAGAAAGATTCTCATTCAACCTTCTCATGAGGACCCTCAAAGAACTTCCATCTTTGTCACCTATATCAAGATAAGTCCACATTACAATAAGGTTGTTATAGATAATGGTAGTAGTGTCAATACTATCTCTGAAGATGTTGCTAAAATATTAAACTTAGAAATTCAAAATCATCCTACACCTTATGTAGTTCATGAGTGAACTCTACCTCTCTTAATATTACCAAAAGATGTCTCCTAAATCTTAAAATGCTATCATATGATGATCAAGTTGGTTAGATATTTTGCCCATAGATATAAGAAGTATATTACTAAGAAGACCTTGGTTATATGATAATAATATCACTATACAAGGCAAATCTAATTTATGTTCTTTTATTTTCGAGGACAAAAAAATAGTGATCCACACTTTTGTCAAAAAAAGTTTTATTTTGAAAAATATCCATCCAATTCTTAAGATAAATCTTATTTCTAATATCAACAAAGAACTTAAAGAAAGGGACTTTCCTCTTTTTGTTTTATTTACTCTTCAATTGAATCATAATATTG